TCAACATATTACAGGAAAATACAGCTTACAAAGATCTTCAGAGCATTCTTCAAAACTATAACTTTAACATTCACATACAATCACCAACTAGGTTAAACTCGTGTATCGACTTAATCGCCAGTAACATAAACTTAGTAAAAGCAGGCGTTCACATTCTGGCTCTTTCTGACCACGAAACAGCACAAACGTTAACTTTGAGCATAGGGAGGCAAAAAGCTATCACCACTTGGTACAAACAGCGGCGAGGCTATAGAAATGAAAATATTCAGAAGTTCTGTGAAAGCGTTTCAGCTCTCTCCTTTTCCGATGTCTCAGACAATGTTATTCAGGCTTTCAACAACTTTTATGATTTAATATGTCTATTTTATGAACTATGTTTCCCAATTCTCAGAGTTAAAATTAACAATAGGCCAGAAAAGCTGCTCTGACGAACAAAGGGACTTAAAAAATGCTGCAAAACGATTACTATATTCGAAACACAGATCACCAAATATTAATAAACAATAAATACAAATAAATTTCAAATGTATAATAGTATTCTAAGAAAGTGTATCTTAAAGTCTCAGAAATTTAATAATAATCTTCATATCCACAATAATAAAAAAAATGTAGAGCGACATATATTACTAACAATACCTATAATAATGACATTAAATATATACGACATAATACATTGACTTACAATTATATGGACGTCGGGTCCGCGCTAAAAAGTGTCCGAACTTATAGGGCGTTAAAATCGTATACAGAGCGTCATTCACGCTTTAGTCTTCGTTTGTTTGACTGACAGCGAAGCAAGCAAAATTAGACAGTACTGCGATGACATTACAATTTAAATTCAACGTTTTAGCTTTTTCATATTCCTTTACATGTCACTACGTTTAAATAGGTTGACTTGGGACATTTTTTTCGTGGTTTTTGTATTAAACCCGTCGTCCATTTATTTGTAAGTCAATGACATAATAATATGACATACTCAAACCCAGATGACATTTGTAATATTAAAGTAATAAAAAAGTAATAATGTAATAAAAAAGGCGATAAGGAAAGCCCAAGTCACTATAGACCAATTACATTAATCTCAAATTATTTGAAAGGGCGCTGCATTCCAGACTAAAGGTATTTTTAGAGAAACATAGTGTAATATATCACTCTCAATTCGGATTTCGAAAAGGTAGTTCTACAACTCTTGCATGTTTTGAGTTTTTGCGCATTGTAACGGAAAGTATAAACGTCTCTACTCCTCTAATCTCCTCTAAGGTAGTGTTTCTAGATATGACTAAAGCCTTCGACTTTGGCAATCACTCAAAACTCCTTTACAAGCTTGAAGCGTACGGTATTAGAGGCACAGCCCAAAATTGGATAGAGAGCTACTTAAAAAATAGGACACAGTACACGGAAATAAGTAGAACAACAAAAAAGAACAACAATAAAAAACGACATTTTATCGTGTCAAATCAAAACACTGCAAAGTTCAATATAGTGTTTTGTAATTTCATAACAACAAGAATCCTTCGGCTGTTAATGAGGGAAAAGAAATTTATTCGTTTAAATAGAAATAACTAACTTTCCAAAGTAAAATTATAAGGCTGGATAGATTTCTTTAATATCTAATGTACAACGTAAGTTAAATACATCTTTTTATGTTATCAACCACAAAAATTATAAAAAATCGAAAAATCCCTTGCTTTTTCTGAAAATGCTGTTTTGATATTACACTGTCTTGGTTTCACACGATAGCAATTTAAATTAAACATTCAAAATAACACAGTGGAGTGGTGGTTGATTAATTATAATAGGCCGGACGGTTTGACGTGGGTTCCTTGGCGAAAAGGTCGTTGTCTTCTGTGGGACGCAACATGTATAGCCTAAGTACTTTTGCTGCGTCCCACATAAGACAAACTTCGCGGTTGGCGATTTACGCGGCTGAAAATGCTGCGAAACTACAACATGCTAAATATTCTGCCTTGGAGCCGATGTACGACTTCGTACCGGTCACGATCGAGACGGCGGCGACCTGGAGTTCGGAAGCGCTCGGGAGTTATTTAAAGAGTTTGGTGGCCGACTGAGAAACAGGGAATGCGGCCACCGCTCTGGGTCGTGGTTGATTAAGCAAATGTCCATTCCCGTCCAGAGAGGCAATGCTGCCAGTGTAATGGAATCTTTTCAGCCGGGCACGATACAGGGCAGGATTTGTTTTAGTTTAGATTTATTTATTGATAAATAAACTTTTAGTTTAGATTTATTTATTGATAAATAAACTTGAAGAAATCGGTATTCACGGGGATCTCTTGAGATGGTTGACCTCTTATATGCGCGACAGGTCCCAGGCAGTGGCAGTCAAAGGTTATACCTCTAGCTTTATTCCCATAACTTCTGGTGTGCCGCAGGGTTCCCACCTCGGTCCTCTTCTATTCAATGTATTTATCAATGGTATCGTGCATTGTTTTAATAATTCTAAATCTCTTATGTATGCTGACGATACTAAAATATTTACTCTTGTTAGATCTGTAGAACATTGTCACCTGTTTCAAGAAGATTTAAATAAATTTTATGAATATTGCTCTATAAATTTTCTAAAGTTAAATATTGGTAAATGTCACTCAATTACCTTTTCTCGCAAGAAAAGACCCATTAGCTATGATTATAAATTTAATAATACCACAATAGACAGAGTGACCGAGGTGAGAGACCTGGGCGTATGCCTCGATAGTGAACTGAACTTTGCTTCGCATATTGATCAGGCTGCAGCCAAGGCTTATAAAATGCTGGGTTTTGTTTTTCGACAGTGCAAAGACTTCAAGAATGTCAATACATATATTATATTGTATAACTCCCTGGTCCGAAGTCATTTAGAATATGCTTCGACAGCATGGAACCCTCATTATGCCAAGCATATAGACCAGGTAGAATTCAGAATAAGTTTTTAAGAAGACTAAGATATAGGTTTAAGAGCTCTATGCCCCAGTTTCAGTCGTTAGCATTAAGACGCGAACACAGAGATCAAATGTTTCTGTTTAAGATTATAAATGGCATCGTTGATTCTCCTTTCTTAATGAGTCGTATTTCATTCAAATGTCCTAGGGTTAATACTCGCTCCAACACAACATTGTTTTTCGTACCTATTTGCAGCACTAACTACGCTGGGAATAGGTTTCTAATCAGAGCATGTAAATCTTATAATGATCGTTACCACCACATCGATATATTCACCTGTAAACTAAATTGCTTTTGTCAAATGTTAAAAAAGTAGATTTTAGTTAATAAATTAAGTAATTATTTCTTTTCTGCAATAATTGTCTCAAATTTTTTAAAACTTGTTTAGAGCTTTGTCATTTGGTTGGGCCATTGTTTACAGAATTTTGTCATTGTGTAGTAGATTAAGTGCTTTCGGCCTTCACTTTGTGAATTATCTATCATTGGAAACAAAATTTGGCTAAATTTAATATATAATAGGTAAACAAAACATTTATGTAATATGTAAGCTGTATGTTTCTTTAAATAAATAAATAAATTAGTTATTTAGGTTAAAAATCTCATGCAAACCCCAGTTTCTTTTTCCGAATATCAATAGTAAAACATCATGACATTATCAACTTATAGGAATTTAAAAATATACATTAGTTTTAGACAAGCTTTATATAATAATATGATAAAACATTATAATAGTAGCAACAAAGCACCTTGTAAATGAATTCGGCCAGGGAAGCAGGTAGGTGGTAATCTTACCTAGTTCAACCGTCAAGTAATGTGAGCATTACTGGGTTCCAGTTTCAAAGGATGTGCTGGTAAAACTACATATGTCTGTGCTACATCACAGTTGCTGTACCGTTATCGAAAGGTATAGCTATAAAGCGTTCACAAATGTACGTAAATTTCAAGTAAAACTCTTGTAAAACGGGTGGGAATAGGAGACAACTCAGGCTCACAATTGCAGGAACAGGACTATTGCTGATATTCCATCTGATTGATATATCCATCCAGCATCCAACCATTCCATAGGTATTGCAGTATAAATACTACCGATTAAACAGTGGCGCATACATTATATATATAACCGTTTTCACGGTGTTTATCCTGCAAAAAAACGCACACGGCTCTATACATTATCGAATACGCAACGGACTTGTCAAGCAAATAGAATGTACTTACTCGGTGTGCGCTACTGCATAGTAGTAATGCATCTCTTTCACCCGGCGCGAGGTCATACGTTTTTTTATCGAATAGTCACCGAACAAGCGGCGTCTAGCATTGAAGTATCTTTTGGAAGGAGGGCACGCATAATTTTATTAATACAAAATGACCTCTTCTGGAACAAAGGTCTGTTTTTTTCATCATTTCTCGGATTTTTGTACAATTCTTCTTGTGTGTTTGTACGCACTGCTTCTTGAAACATTGGATGAACCCAATACCTTCTGTTCTTCCGGCGGCACAGCCCTTGTCGTCGTCTATGTCAATATAAAAGTGCAACGAAGCGTGGATCCATTACAGTCGTGTTCTCAGGGCGATTGTTGTAGGAATATTGCGGTTATCCGTCTTTTAAACGCATGAAAATATATCGTGTGAACACTCCACTGTCTATCTGTTTATAATCGAACACGTGCATGACAATGCCGTGTGAACGAAGGCTTAGTGTTTGCATTACATTATATTGTGTTTTTTTTTATATATAATACCAAGCGACGGGATGAATAAGTCATGTGTCGAAGTGTCGACCCGCCTATCCATAACAGTGCCACAGAGTCAGAGCTTTTAATTGCAAAGATCTAAGAGGCACTGCTTGACGACAGAAGTACTTTCCTGGATGTAACTCTCTCACAAGGAGCTCTGCTGCTACCGGATACAAATAAAATGCTTACAAATTTTATTTGTATTTGGTTTATTGTTCTACGTTATCTTGTATAAATAACGTCAGCTTAATTTCGTTAACTCATTTTTGGTAATCTCAGCGTAGTAGATTATATATTAGGTGCGTTTATTATATATGGTAACTAGTAATTCGGCGCCCGCGTAGACCGATCGCCTGACGAAACGTCGCAGTGACGAGTCGCGACTTTGTAACCGAATAACTTTTTCTTATAATTTTTTAAACTATTTTGTAAAAGTGTGACTTCAAATCGGGAAGGTAATTATTTGTTTTTACACATTTTTTGAAAGCCGTATTTGCCTAATTTGGTTTGATCTACTGCCTCTCAAGCAGAGCCTTTGGGTTCGAATCTCGAGTCGCACCTCTGTGTTTCTCGGAACTTATGTGGTACATTTAATTTAAAATATACCATGAGCTTTTCGGGGAAGGAAAACCTCGTGATTAATCCTGCACGTCGAAGAAGGTTCACAACCGTTGGAAAACGTGTGAAGTCTCCACCCTTACTATTGGGACCTGTCTTTCAAAAAACAATCTTATTTCAATATAAGCTTGTGACGGTGTGACCACCTTGATCGTCATACCACATTTTTATTTAAATTTCTTATTTTATTCTCACACTCGTTGAATTGTTCCATTCCTTTGCCTCGCATTCTGATTTTGTTTCGTTTCGTCGTCACTCCCTGCCCAGAGAACACATCGCGGCAGAGAACACATCTTCTTGTTATTATTTTGAACCGTTTACCATTTTACTAAAAATCTCTTGTACAATATACATTTTTAAGATCGAAGTATTGTTAAAACCGCAATAAATACTTATAAAACTGGATTTATTACCATCACCCTTTACCGTTTTTAACCTTGAACTTTAAACTCACTAAATAAGATGTATGGAGGCTGCGGAATCTACTACTACATTCCATCCAACTGGACATAACGCCACCAGCACCAGCAGCCTTCTTACAAGCTTATAGTAAGCTTATTATAATATTACTCATATTCGTACCATGACAAACTTATCAACCAAATAATGTATTATTGCTAAAGTGACTGAAAGATCGAATGAGTTCCCAATATTGTCTATTCCTTACTAAAAATAGGAAAGAAATAACGCTATATGAACTGTACAATGCCATCTCTTTCTTTTTTGATATTCCGAATCGTCCTATAGTAGTATAATGTTAAAGTTATATATGTAAATATTATTTACATTAAGAGAATTTTAACTGCCAAAAAAAGAAAAGTATGTAATAATGAAATCTATTAAAATTACGTTATTTTCAATTATTTTTCCGCATTTTCATGAAGAAAAATACATAAAATAAGCTAACTCTTGATTGTCACGTTGTGTTGGAATTGTAGTCTAGTATCAACTGTTGGTTTCGCCAAGGAGCATGTAGATGTCGGAGAATTTTACGAAATAAACATCGCGCATTTTTATTTCGAAAATAATAAAAATTTCCACCGCGTCCGAGTAACTATTAAGATTGCTAAATTTGACATAAGAACAATATTACTTTAATGTTACAGTCACGTCATAGTACGAACTGAGTGAATGAATACTCACAAAGTTGCCAAGAAAGCATCATTTACATTATAATAAGCTTACTTGAAGCGCGTCATGGTACGAAAAGTCACTCACTGTAAGGTTAAAGTAATATTGTTTTTTGAGGTTGTGGTAGGCCCCCTGGTTTTGGTGGCACAAAGGCGAAAAATATTCTCCTTTATTTTTTTAAATTGATAACATACTTTTAGGTACGTCTATTGTATTTAAGGTTGTCTTTGCTTATTTCTACTTCTATGTCGTAACTTTAATTTAGTACAGAAATCGCACCTCTTCCTGGAACAAAGTCGAACTTTTATGTACTACTTTTAAGGCCGGTCAAAGGTTTACTCTCCGATTAATAAATACATATTGTATTAGTCGGAGACTAAAATATATTTATTTACATCAAACCTATTGAATGTGGAAAAATAGTTTCATTTCCTACATTAAACTTGTTTGGAGCGTAAACAAAAACATCCACTACGTAATCAAGATTTTTACGATTTAATCTGTGTTGTTAATGTTTTGGTCAAACTGGTTTTGATTGATGTGATGTTATTTACAATTTGTTTTTTTCTATGACCGCTTGTACAGTGATCAAATTTGATAAATGGCGAAAAACTATTGTTGTAGAGGGGGTTCTGTTCGTACTTGATGACGTTACCAAATTGAGTAAAAAAACTTCCAGTCCAGTTTCAGGTTTTATTCCCAAAAAGTATATCATACTAGGTGCCAAGTTAATTGTGACCAACGAGAGCGGAACTACACGTACAAATGCAAAAAGTTATAAAAGTAACAGTCGTTCCCACAAGGACTCAACTCCTAGAAACGTACCAATACTTCTGATTTCTCACACATAAATAAAATTCGGTTCAAGTACCTAGTTACCATTCGAGGGAAAATCTTAACACCGCCACACAGAAATTAAGTAAAAATGGTCATTGCCATCTAGCGGATTTTTAGAGGACTAAACGGTAAACAAAATTATTAGTAAACTCTATGGTATAGGTTTGTTACATTGTTGATTACTAATTAATTATCAAACATTCCTAGAGACCACCCGCATGCCAATTTTTAAAGGGGACCAATTATTTTTCTGCCGCCACCTTGAAAAAAGGTGAAAAAGTAATGTTGATCGCAAATTATTATCGAGCACTCGAATCAGGGCAAATCTTTTTCGGCGTCTATTTTTAACGAAAAAATGCATAGATGGCAGCCATATTAAGAAATGGCCTGACCTCCGCAAGGCAATTTTCAGCTGGATCGAAGCGTGTTTTTCTTCGGCCGCCTTTTTGAATTCGCCATCTTGATTTTTTTTATTGACACAGGCAGTTGACAAATTACTACTCTCTATGACACTCCTTTCAGCACCTGAAAAAGACTTTGAAATTTGTATAGTGGCCAAAATGGTAAGTTGGCCAAGGTGTACCTCATAAAAGTGCACAAAAATCCTCCCCCACCGAATGTTTTTTATGTTTTCCACATTCTTGTAAAGAAGCAGAGCGCACTTTAAACAATTTCAAATGTTGACTTTGTTTTCTATATAAATTTTAGAAATTTGTAAATTTATTAAACAACACCCTGAGTTTTGTACTAACATTGACGACCTGCCCCAACGACACACTTTTAGACCACACAATAGATTACACAGTTCAAGTCCCCACTCGATGTCCGTGAGGATATTCAACGAGCCTATTATTAAAAACGAGGAAAAGTATTCACTGTTTGCAAATAAATTAAAATTACATCTTATTAATAAATGCTATTACAATTTAAATGAATATTTAATGAGTCATTAAATATGTCATTAATAATGACAAATAAAAATAAAAATATTATAATAAATAAATCTTAATTATTTACTATAAAATTATTCTTTTATATATATGTATATATATATATATGTATATACATACATATATATATATATATATATATATATATTATATATATATATATATATATATATATATATATATTATATGACATATTTTTTATTTTGTATTATTATTTCATAAATAACAATAAAATTCTAATTAATAATTGACACCTCGGCCTACCTCTGCTCTTATTGTTATCCCTAATAAAGGGCTCATATGTGTAGCATTATTTTAATTTTAAGACATGTACCATATGAATGCAATAAATATATTAAGTATTGAGTATTAAATAGTTTTTTTTTCACCATATCGGAAAGTATGCGTTCTATCAGTGAGTAAGAACTTGTAGCTTTATACAGGGTGATTGGTAACTCGATACATTCCTTTTAAGGGGTGAAAGTAGACATAATTTGAAGCAAATTAAGTCAAGTTATACCCTGTCCGAAAATTAGTAGTTTCGAAGATATTGAAGATTTAAAGTTTTTTTTTTTAAATCCCGATTCTCAGCTTTGTTATTTTTTTGGAATTTTATTTCTGTCCGTTTCTGGTTTGTTTTCATTTTATCTAGTAGTTATTGAATTAAAGTTATTGTTTAATAGCAACAGAGTACGAAATAACTGTTACATTTGCCATAGTGGTTCAAAAATGATGAGAACGACCGAAAAAGAAACAACAATTTATTTATTAAAAGGAGTGCCTTGTAAAAAAATTATATGGAACGATGTGTACAAATTACTTAAATTACTTCTTTGTATTGTTACCTATTCAAAAAGTACATATGTTGTACCAAATAAGAGATAAGTTACAAGTTTTTGGAAAAATACATTTGTGGGTCGGACGAACGTTTCTTAGAAATACGAAGCCAACTGCTCTCTGTTAACAGTTCACCTGGAGCTATTGTATCTAAATTCTTTTGTTTAGCCTCGGCATCAATCGGGACCTTTGAAAAGTATTCAAAAACCATTTAATATTATTTTAGTTTAGTTGGCTTCAACTATTCCTGAGTACGGACGTGTCGTTGTATTCTACTTTTCGAAGTTTTTCTGGTTACGTCAGTAAATGTCTGACTATACGAACGAAGAATACGCGGACATTGTGTTCTGTTACGGTTTTTGTGATGGTAATGCTGCTGCGGCACGAAGGGAGTACCCAGGGAGTGCCCAGATTTGACACCGTGCGATTTGTATTTATGAAAAGTTTGGTGTATGAAACGCCCGTAAATTCATTAGATGAGCTAAAGCAGAGAATAATTGACGCAGCTGAACAAATAAGAACAATTATAACATCGCGGGTAACGACAAGTGAAGTACGCAGAAGACTAAGAGCATGTATTAGGAACAGAGGTTCCCACTTTGAGCAGGACTTACAATAAATGTATAAAAATTAGAACAACTTACTTTAAGAGTTTGTACTTTAAGGTAATAAACGTTACAGATTGTCAAGTGTCAACATTTCTTTAACATTTTCCCTATAAAACTTATTTTACCATAAAATCAAGTGTAGTGAACTCGCACTGTGTTCTTGATTTTCATCACTTTGTATTAGAAAAATTACATTGTAGTTAACATTTTTACTGTTTTGAATAGGTAACAATACAAAGAAGTAATTTAAGTAATTTGTACACATCGTTCCATATAATTTTTTTACAAGGCACTCCTTTTAATAAATAAATTGTTGTTTATTTTTCGGTAGTTCTCATCATTTTTGAACCACTAAGGCAAATTTAACAGTTATTTCGTACTCTGTTGCTATTAAACAATAACATTAATTCAATAACTACTAGATAAAATGAAAACAAACCAGAAACGGACAGAAATAAAATTCCAAAAAAATAACAAATTCTGAAAATCGGGATTTAAAAAAAAAATAATTTAATCTTCAATATCTTCGAAACTACTAATTTTCGGACAGGGTATAACTTGACTTAATTTGCTTCAAATTAGGTCTACTTTCACCCCATAAAAGGAATGTATCGAGTTACCAATCATCCTGTATATAACAGGTTGTCACACGGCTATGCCACATGGAGGGAAAGTACCTTAAATACCGTAGATAGAAAATTTTAGTGATAGAAGATTTCATTTTGTTTTTAAAGACAATTCGCCCTGCATTCAAAGATTTTTAAATAATCGCCTAAATAAATTTTTAAAATAAGAATGGTAGATCATTAATATAAATGAGAAATAAGAAAGGTCCAAGTATTAAGCCCTGTGGAATACCAATTTTTACCGGAGAACCCAAAGAAGTCACTCCATTTATGTCTACTTTCTGAATTCTACCGTTAAGATATGACGAAACAAGTTCCAACGCCTTGCTATTTACTCCGTAATATTCTAGCTTCCTAACAAGAGTAATATGGTTCACACAATCAAATGCGTTTGAGAGATCACAGAAAATCCCAATAGCGTTCTGGGACCTTTCCCAAGCATCAAATGTTTTATACCCCCGCATCACTAGTCGACCTACCACTATTGTTGTTGTAATCCTATGTAAGACTCGTGCTGTGTGGCGTATAAATCTGCCGTCCACTAACTAAAACGCGGCAGTGACAAATGGTCAAACATTCGTTTGGAATAGCAAAAGATGGAGCACAAAATTCACTTTTAAAACTGTTAAAATTAGTTAACGTGTTTGACTTATCGGAACTTACCCTAACGATGCATAGCTGAAACATCATTAAAAAACAATTTCAATATTCTAAAACTGGGTTATAGTTTTTTATGATATCTCAAAAAAAATGTTTTGTCACTTAGCCACGTTATAGTTGGCAGATGGCAGAAATGGGTTGAAAACGGTTTTCCCTACTTTTTGTTTGTTACAACGTGATCTAAATACATTATATTTTTTGGTAACTTAAATGTAATTTGATGTATTTTTCTAGATGCTGGTCTGGATATGGCTGGGTTGCCTCGTGGCCGCACTGTTTCTGTACATGTGGCAAGCTTACGGCTTCTTTAAAAGGAGAGGGGTGAAGACGCTGCCTATCATCCCGCCTTTCGGTACCATAGCTGGCGTTTTGTTACAGCAAGAGCATATCAGCGTACAAGTTACTAGAGCTTATAGAAAATTTTCTGATCAGAGGTATGTACAAATATAATATCTGCCGTAAAAAAAACGCTAGCCAAAACGCGGCTATGTGACAAAATATTTTTTTGAGATATAATAAAAAACACAACCGTATTAGAATATTGACATTGTTTTATGATATTTCGGCTATACATCGTTAGGGTAAGTTCTGATAGATAATTTTGTGCTCAACTTTTGCTATTTAAACCGGTATTTGACCATTTGTCACTAAGCAGCTTTTTAGGCAGTGGACGGCAGATATACAAAGATTATGTAACAAGCGGTGCTTGACAAATATTTTAACTGGGTCTTACGTTTTATCATAAAGCAGAATATCAGAACTTTAAATCACAAATATCTGAGGGGCACTGCCACTACGCCCGTTACCTTGAGACTAAGTTGACATGTTCTTGTAATTTCACAGCCCTTAGTTACCCTTAGTTGGTTGAGGCGAACTTGACATTTCGTTCAATTATTGGTGAGGCAGGTGTAATGCTAGTTACTTCTTTAAACATAATTAAAGATTAATTAGTGAATATTCTGAATTTATTAATAAAGTAATTGTTACAAATAAACCTGTACGTCTAAATTGCGTAATTAGAGAACATTTTATTATAATGTTATGAGCTTATTGTTGTTCTTAGTAGCTTTAGAGCTCCTTGTGAAAGTGTTCATCCAGGGTAATGCAACTTTACTTATTTCTGCCGCCAAGCGGTAATATCAGCATTATTGTGTTCCGGTTTTGAAGGGTGCTGGTGAAATTACAGGCACATGAGACTTGTCAACTTATATATCAGGGTGACGGGTGGCAGTGCCCCTCAGATCTATGAGATTTAAAGCTCTCGGTGGTACTGCAACTGTTATGGATAGGCGTGTAGCTTACCGTCAAGCGCACGACTTGTTGTACGACTTACGTGTATATATAAGAAATGGTCGGATAAGCGGGTAGAATAAAGGTTTAAAATAGTATTTGTAATTTTATATAATATTTAAATGAACTAAATATAAAAAGTCTTCGTACAACAAGGATTTTTTAAAATGTTTTAATAGTTTTTTTTATCGAATCTACTGTACTCTCAATTAATTTTAATTTTATACTTCAGTTGTTTACAATACTGAAATGCAATTTTCATATTCCTCATTCAGATTTCCTCTTTAAGATTTCTAGTCAGCCATCTTATATTTGTTATATCCGACTCGGTTGGGCAGCTTTCGGGTAGCTCCGGGACGTCTTCTCGTCCGCAATACCCTACGGTATTTGCGGAAAACTTTTGTCTTCAAGGACTGCCCCTTGAAGACAAAAGTTTTCGAGCATTGCGTGTTGCCAGCGCAGACCTACGGCTCTGAGACGTGATCACTTACTATGGGTCTCACAAAAAAGCTCAAAGTCACTCAACGAGCTATGGAGCGAGCAATGCTCGGTATTTCTCTACGCGATCGAATCAGAAATGAGGAGATCCGTAGAAGAACGAAAGCCACCGACATACCCAAAGGATTAGCAAGTTGAAGTGGTAATGGGCAGGGTACATAGTTCGTAGAACTAATGGCCGTTGGGGCAGAAAGGTTCTCGAATGGAGACCACGAAGAGGAAGGCGTTCAGTGGGACGGCCCCCTACTAGATTGACGGATAGCCTGGTAAGGGCGGTGGACGTCTTCCGGCTGATACGATGATGGTGATTTTATGTATGTAATTAAAATATAAAAATCGCAAAACGTCGGACTACTTCCAGGATTTAAAAAAAAATATTATTTAAAGAAGCCACTTCCATATTTAAATTATAGCTTAATGATGATACAGAAAGCTTGCCAGAAGTTATTTCATAATTACATTTATATAACAATTAATTTATGTTGTGTAGCTACCGACAATTAAATTTTCTATTATTAAATAAATATAGCAAATCTGTATTATGCTGTAATATAAAGAAAGTATGCACTTATACTCAGTTACTTAGGCATCGCAGCAACCACGCAACAACACTATTAGAACTCTAATAGCTTTATGAAAATTATATAATACAATTAAGGTTCTTTTATAACCCATTTCAAAAAAGGAGGAGGCTTTCAATTCGCCGTTTTTTATGTATGTTACGCGATTTGTGAACCGATTTTGATGATTGATGATAGATGATATTGGTCCCATTTAAATTTGAAGAACATATTCCATCTCTTTCATATAAAAATAAATAGATTGAAATAGATCGCTCTAAAAGTAATAAATAACCTGTGCAGCACGGGGGTGGGAGACGTCGCGGAGGACGCTTGCACGTTCAAACTTATTCTACGAAACATAGATCTAAAACACGTCAAATAGAACAACAAAAACTGAAAAGTTTATTTTTGGTGAATTTATTATGTTTTGAAAAAAGTCATAGAACAAAAGTTGTTGCTTATGATGTTAGTAAGATAATCCTAAGAAGCTGATAGTATATTAAAAGTAACATGTATACTCGTAGACATACGATTATCTATTTATTTTATATTGTTCAATTTTGTTTAATGTGATATATCACGATGTTTATTTGTATAAATTATATGTATTTGTTAATAATGAACGTCGTTCAATGCCTGATAACAGAATTAAAAATACAGAAAAACAACATTACTTATCGGAATAACTTAAATTGTGCCGATGCATTATGACCGCGCTGGATTTTGTCGCGAGGCTGAGATACATAATAATTTATCACCATTTACGGTGGAGGTCAAGTGCGCACTTATTTTTTGTAAAAAAAAATTGTTACTTGATGACAATTTGGCCAAGTACTATATTTTTATTTCTATTAAAAAGAAAGTAAGAAAGAAAAATAGCTTTTTGGTAACTTAGTTTAGTTAACATGACAAAATGATAACAAAAATAAATTAAACAACCTTGGGATTATCAATGAGAACGACCTTGGTAACATTTTAAATGTAATTGTTTTTATTTGTTTTGAAACATGTTAAATGTTATCTCAGCTGTCCTCGTTCAAGGACGCCTCGTTACGCCGTTACGTCAATGAAGCCAGCGGAATAAATGACAAAGGTGATGTCGTTACGTCCAACTAAATAGAAGCAACACTGTCAAATGCCTTGGAAAAGTCATAGAATGCACCGAGCGTCATGTGAGTGGAAACAAATCAAAAGCAAAAACGCGAGCGTGTCTGTGGAGTAGCTGGGGCCTTCCTCAACCCTCCTAAGCCCTCGTTTAACAGAATCAAAACTGATTGGACTGAACCATCGCGCTTTTAAACTTTCGCGCAACTGACTATTCGTGAAAACAAGCCGTCGCGCATTATAGCTTCGCACAACCGTTTTCACACTATCGTCATTCGTGTAATCGGCAATCGCAATGTGGGAGACCCAAAGCGACACGCCTCTCCATCGCGAGCACTGACACTGCCTTGAGACATAAACATAAGTCGAAAAGCCCCATGTCCCTATAAAATCACCAGCACCCTTACTGTAAGTAAGCAGCCCTAGTAATTGCTCACATTACTGCTTGGCGGCAGAAATAGGTAACGTGACAGAATAATTTCAAATATTTGAATATCATGGGAAGTGAAACATCCTGATATTAAATAAACTAATGATATAAGTAAATTTTTTATTTTATTTCAAACAATTACGATAATTCATAGTTATCGATATTTTAGATCGAGTACAGTGACATCACTTATATCGTGTTTACATGAACACTTAGTGATCGATGGCGGAAAATTTGAATGTTTAATTCATTGATATTTAAAAATTACAGAGTTATAAACATTGTGAAACATTCTCACCCTTTAAAACTTGATGATTGATGATCATTGACTACTTCTCTTATTACATAATTGTGAGTTCAATGTGTTACCAGTCAATTTGACCAAAATCAAATTCATAATTTTGATATGCCAAAATTAGCTATATCTTTATCTTTAATATAAGTGGATTCTTTTGTCTACAGGTTCTTCGGCCAATTCCAGGTCACAAAGCCGATAGTGCTGGTGAGAGACCTCGAGACGATCAAAAAGATTGTAGTGAAGGACTTCGAGCATTTCCTTGATCACAACACCTTCATTAGAGAGGAGAATGACCCGATATTTGGGAGGAATCTCTTCTCTTTAAGAGGTTAGTGGGCCTTATGGTTCCCGATTAGGATTAGGATTACTGCATAAATCTTTGCAAGAAAAGGCCTCGTTTGAAACAAGATTATTTAAATTCCCATTTTGTAATCATAAATAAACATCTTGTTTATTTTGGATTGGTAGGCGAATTGACAATCGCATAGATTCATAACGGTTTTTATGCTTTATCGCCGTGACGTTACAATACAAATTAATGGATTCCAATGTCATCCGAAAGTGGTGAATGAACGGTTTCGTATTGTCGAACAGAAATGTGCAAAAACACCATCATGAAGTTCTAATTCAAAACATTATTATTCCTTTACACTTGATACTGTCAATTGTAAAACACTTGCTCATTAGGTCAGGAATGGAAAGACATGCGATCGACTCTTAGTCCTGCTTTCACTAGTTCCAAAATGAAGACGATGCTGCCGTTGATAGTAGAGGTTGGAGATCAGATGATCCTCTCTCTTAACAAGAAAATCGAGAACTCGAAACGTAAGTATCTCGAGCGTTTATCACTACTTTTCATAAGCCTTCTTAGACGTGCAGGTTTCTTGTTGTTTCTTTCATTATTGAATGCAAAAGAGGTGGAGTAGTTGGCTGGCCAAAAGGTTGAAAGTGCCATGGATGCTTTAGTACATTTAAAAAAAAATGAAATTGATGAACACTTAGTAGCAATCTCACCTGATGTTAAATGATGACGTGGCTGACGTTTTACGTGTTTGTTTAGTTCAATGCTTATTTACTCTAGACTTGAATAACTCAAATCGTAGCTTTTGGGAAAGTCGTAAGCTGGCAGTGTATTCCTTTGCTTTGCCGCATGCATCCGGAAGGATAAACCGTAGTGCTTTGTGTGAATATGAATTGCTGTACAATCACATAATTATGGAGAGTTCCTGAAGAGAAGGAGGACTAAATTGTAAAGCATTATATCTGGAAAAAATATTGAGCCATTTGGTAATATCTGTATTTTTAATCGTTCATTTTGTTTACAGACGATTCTTTGGAGGTTGATGTGAAAGACCTAATGACAAGATACGCGAATGACGTAATTGCATCTTGTGCCTTTGGCCTGAAGGTGAATTCTCATATGGACAAGGACAACCAGTTTTATGCAACGGGAAAAATTGCTGCTGCCTTCGATTTCAGAGCGATACTCATAATCTTCGCGTTGAATTCTTTTCCAACGTTGTCCAAAGTGAGTAAATTTAAAGTTATGTTATGCATCTATTAAAAGAACACTGAACCAAGTGCTTACGTGTTCTATAATTAATATTTCTTTGGTGCAATAAAGAATACACACTGACTGAAGTATGGTACTGAAGTAGTAAATACACCAATACAGAGTAGATCGTGTATTAAAAAAAAATTTTGTATATATATTATTGCTGTGTTATGTTAAACCATGGATAAAAAACGTAAGCCGTTGACTCTTAGTAATAAAATGGATCAATAATGCAACAGGATTGCATATCTCCATACTACGAGATCGTAAGTCTGAAAAAGATCAAAATTCGCTCTTACGTCTAGATGGAGCTGATCAGTAGCCTGTTAACCACGACCATTTACATAGTTTATATTATGTAAATGGTCGTGGATATCAATTGACTCTCTCTTTTATATGAAATATTAGAAGTCAGTTTTTTTCCTTATAGTACATACATACATAAGCTAACGCTCTAGTCCCACAGGAGGGGTAGGCAGAGACCACGGAACGCCACTTTACTCTGTCTTGACACAACGCCACTTTACTCTGTCCTGAAATTTTCTGAACTTTGACAAATATGCGTGTCAATAGATGGCATTATGTGCTAAAAACAAAATTATAAATAAACGCTTTCTAATATGGATAGATGGTGCTAATCCTAAACAAAATAATAGCCGGCATTATCCACATAAATCTGTGCAATAAGCGCCATCTAGTTCATTTGTTTGTTATCACTAGAAGTTTAGCTTTGATAAATTGCAGCTTGTATAAATTCGTGAGGTCCGCTGGTTCGTTCCGTGGCTTAGTTGGTATAGCGTCTGGCACGGTATGCTAGAAGACGTCGGTTCGAATCCGGCCGGATCGAATGATTTTTTTCTGAGTGTTCGATCTTTGTATTAATAATTATAACAAACTAGTGGAGTAATTTCACATAAAAATAATTGAATGTCAATTCAACAAAAAAATAAATAGAAAAACTTATATTTTCCGGGTAAAACAATATATTTTCGCCTATATCTTTCAAGTATATTTTATTAAATAGATATATGAATGTTTTTAGATATTCAAATTTACTCTGTTCCCGGAGTCGGTACAGAACTTCTTCAGGACGCTGGTGACTGAGACGATGCAGAACAGGGACCTTAAACATATAATTCGGCCTGACATGATACATCTGCTAATGGAAGCTAAGAAAGGTAATAGTCTCCTATTACACTAGTTCTTCGGTGTACATTGCTCGATTTTTTATAACACACGTTTAGATAACCATGTTTCTATTTAACGTGGCAGACTTTGATACAATTAAAATGGTATATTATGCACTCTGTCAGTGCTCACTCATATATCGTGAAACTGGTTGGGGTGGTGCTGCAAAATCGCACTTAATCAAGATTGATTGTATCCTTAAGGTAGCTAGTTTTTAGGTCTATACTCCACCCTACATCGGACTTGTACAAATTATGCCAGGTTTTATCTATACGCCAATTATTTATATATTACATCGTATCATGAAATACATATCACACCGTATTATGAAAGCATTCTTAAGTAGCTAAATAGTCAGAAACGACATGATATAGTGTGCCTGAAAAATTCATTCATACTGCCATTATAAATCGGTTTTTTACCTTCCTACGATCGTACTTATATAATAAAGCAAATTTAAATTTGAAAATTTATTCTCTAAATAATTATGAATGCAAGAAAGTCGTGACAAAATGGCTCCTAGGATTACAGCGAAACAGAATGATTTATTGAAGTTAGTAAAACTTGAAGTCGTCGCTTTTGTGAAGTTAAAAATGGTAATAATAAAGAGGTCTACAAACAAAACATTGTTGTGGATAGTGATAAACACACACGCATACACACAAGCAATTGCATTTCTTTTGTATTGCGTAATTTAACAGAATTATTTAAGTAACTCAGTCTTTTATATATTATTTATTATTTTGCCTATACTTATATGTATAATGTTATTGAATTTTTACGGAGGTAGATACTAGGCGATCTGAAATACAGGATCAATCTAGTTCAGGCACCATTCTCTGCAATTATTTTGGTCTATATTATAATACGAATTAATGTAAGGATGCCGTGTAAACTTTGCAGAGAAAATAAAGATTATTATAGTAAAATTAGTTATTTGGTTGGGTTAAGGAAATTCTAGGCGTTGCTCTCTTTTCAAATCTTTTCAAATCTTTTTAAATGCTATAGAATAGACTTTGAATCAAATTTGTGTGGAATCTAGGACCCATGTCGTCATTCCATGCATTTATATCTAACAATCGTCTATAGTCTTCAATATAAAGTCTTCAATTTTGTAATATGACTTTTCAATTAAAATTCTTTTAATGTTAGTTTCAAAGTTATGAAATGATAATCTTAATATATGCTCAGGAATCTTATTGTAAAAACGTATACAGTTCCCCATAAAAAAATCGTTTACCTTTGTTAAACGAAATCGCGGTACCATGAATTTGGACTTACTTCTAAGGTATAATATTACGGATGTCTTCTTTCTTATAAATAAATCTATGTACTGTGATGCTACAGTTATGATACCAGTCTCCTTAAACTTTTCTCTGAGAGAAACCCGAGAACCTAAACGGTACACAGAACGAATCGCTCGTTTTTGCAACACAAAGTCAAGTCCATGAGTTGTTGTTAGTTCATAGTGTGGTTGTTTTCCGTGAATTCTATTTCTGAATATCTCTTGTTCGAAACCAGGCAATTGGTGTGGTTGTTTGGCACATATTAAATAATTGTCATTTTTCTATCAACTGTAGTCGTGTTCATGGAAACGTGTGCGTCACACACACAAACCGCGCTGTTATTTTGTATGGAGTTACCATGCTTGTCTGATTATACTATTCTACTCACAAAACAGATACTGTTTTGCAATTGCGTATTATCATATACGATGACACGCAGTTTGTCTTGTAAGTAGTTTTGCGTGTTTTCAAAGTAAATAATCGCTCAACTATTAATTCCATATTAACTTCATACGACACAAAGAACTAATCTCATATGACTTGCAGATTGTCGAAATGACATTAGTGATATGTGATATCAAACTATTTAATGGGGCTTGTTTATATACTAAATCATGTATGCAAGAGACAAGACATGTTTTAGGGAGTAACATACGGAAGTATTTTGCTTTTATAGTACATAATTGCAGAGGCCGGGAAGTAAGGGGTTGCTGGACGAGTATGAGTTACACGGCCGAGCCCGTGTATTAATACGAGTCAAGCAATTCCCGTTCCCGCCGAGGCATGTACAGTATTTTTCGCAAACAATATGAGGAAATAATTTTGCAAAGATCACAAAGAATCCAAAGATCAAACACTGAGGAAACACTGCTTCGATCCGGCTGGATTCAAACTAACGTCTTTTAGTAAACCGGGACAGACGGTATGGCAACCAAGTCACGAAAAGAACCAGCGGACTTTCCGATTTTTTTTTGTATTTTTTTTGTTTATTTGTTACGTGTTTACTCCGGCGATATTTGTGAACTGAATTTGATGATTCTTTTTTGTTGAAAAGAGGGTACCTTACTCAATATTCATCCCGAATTTTAAGAAAATATTCCACCTCTAAGGGTGGCAAACTAGAAGATGAATTCGGTTTCGCGCACTTACCGGTAACCGATTTCAATGACGTACCATTTATTCAAAATCTTATTTTAACTTTACAGGAAAACTGTCATATGACGAGAAATCAAGTCACGACTCAGCCGGTTTTGCCACTGTCGAGGAGTCATCTGTTGGTCAGAAGGCAATCAACAGGGGTATGTCAAATTGATTAAATTTTTAATACTGGTCGTTAGTATGTTGAGACAATGTTGCCAATTAATTACTCTGCGTGGCAGTCCATCATGGTAACCGTTCGGCCACGGCGATAGTTATTACTTTAAAGATTTGCATGGAAGAGCATTATCATCACTTAAAGTTTGTCGACTGTACATTAAGTAATGTATTTTCCTCAAACATGCTCAGTAATGTTTGCATTACTTTCAAAAAACGGACACGGAACGTTTGTCATTTATGGACCATGCGACTTCTTCCCGGCCAAGGCCTGCAAAGTAAGTATGAAAATACATTACCATCCAAGTCTCTAAACTTTTAAATCTACCTACTATTACTATACTATATATTACACTAAATATATTATACTAAAATGCTTGCAAATACTACTGTCAAATATTACTTTTAATTTTAATTAATTATTTTTACTTTTTCTATTATACACCTTCTTCTCTTTAGTCTTCTATTATTTCCTCACATTGTTTGAGAAAATCACTATATAAGCCTCGGCGGGAACGGGAATTGCTTGACTCGTATTAATTCAAGATCTCGCCTGCGCTCGGCGTTGTAGCTCATATTCGCCCAGCAATCCCTTACATCCCGGCCTCTGCAATAATGTAGGTACTATATTCAGAAAATAAAACTTAGTACTAAAATTTACTTTGTCAGACGCAAGGCATTTAGCGATCTATCTAACGAGAGGTCACAGATGCAGATGAAAATGAAATAATTTGAAGTCTGTTTTTATACAATTTGTGATTATTATTATTTTCCAGTATGGTCTGACGACGACCTGTGTGCCCAAGCCGTCCTGTTCTTCGTTGCTGGTTTCGAGACCGTATCCGCTGCCATGTCCTTCCTTTTGTACGAGTTGGCTATCAACCCTGACGTGCAAGAGAAACTGTACCAGGAAATCAGAGATAACGAGAACAAGAACCATGGGACATTTGATTATAATTCTGTACAGAATATGGTATATATGGACATGGTGGTATCAGGTAACGCCATAAAGAAGCACTTACTTTCTACCAATTATCTTTACAAAAATATCACCATAATGAAAATCAAAACGCCAATCTTGTTGCGTAATCCTTTACTTTTCGATAGTGACATTTTAAGATGTCATTATTATATCAAATTTAATTTATCTTGCTGGATATTTTGTGGACCTGTAAGTCCACAAGAGTCTTATTATAAATAAGTAAATAAATGTTTTGTTATGCAGAAACACTAAGGCACTGGGCGCCGGTAGCTACCCTGGACAGACACTGTACCAAAGACTACAACTTGGGCAAACCTAATGACAAGGCTACTGAGGACTATGTTGTAAGTGTTCCAACGCAAATTGCCCGTTATTTCTTAGTGAACAACTGATACTATAAATTGCCTACTAATGACAGGTTTTTTTATCACGGTATGACTTTGTTTTACTTTTTTCCGATATTTCGGAAAGATTATATATAATATATATACAATATACGCTCAATGGGTTGACTGGCCAGCGGCAAATGACAGATTTAAAAACAAATATGTCTATCTACCCCCTTTGGCTGTCGACGGCTACCTTAATCTCGATTTCTTTCAGTGTGGTAACACTGCAAGAAATCGATCACGTTGTGACGCACATTTTTCTGACAAACTACGCTCACTGAATCCACAGGGGAATTTGAAATCGAACTATTTTTGTTTTTATTTTTTACTGTAAGCACTGAGTACTGGATGCCACGCACTGGATAAATATTTAATACTTTGTGATCTTTTGTCTTCACGTACCAAACGTTTTGTCTCGGTGTTACGTAGTGACGTTCTGTCGACAGTATTTGGGGCTATGCAACTCGATCCAGTAGTTATTGTCATTTTGTGTCAGATATACGCTATAACTGACTTCTGACGTCATAGTTTTTCTGCAGCTCGGATGTGTTCCTTCATATGGTCGACTGTTGTCCATTTAGTTCGACCGATGTCAAAGTTTCCACATGGAGCTTACTTTATAAGACACTCGGTATTTTTAACAATTAAAAATAAATTATACTGTGGTACAAAACCTGTTATGTAGGTGATTAGTAATAATCATTAAATACATTTAAAGTTCCCTTTTTAATCTTTCACTTTGTTGTTGTAGTTGCTGTCAGGAATGGGTGCCCAATTATGCGGCACTTAATAAATAATACAAAGTCCCTGGTAAAATATAACTACTAATATAGTTTTAAGTCTGTACCTACTAACATTTGATTGGATCTCGGTTGTCTCAATAAATAAATTTTATTATTAATATTTGTACCGAGGTGTAGTCGTGCAGTGTACGGGAGAAGACGATAAAGTTACATTAACCTTTTTTTTTCATTAACATTTTTATTACTGTTTCATTCGTCTAGATCCGCAAAGGTGACTCCCTTCAGATCCCGGTATGGCCGATCCACCATGATCCCGAGTACTACCCCAACCCGGACAAGTTCGACCCTGAGAGATTCTCTGAAGAGAACAAACATAAGATCCGGCCTTTCACTTACATGCCGTTCGGACTTGGACCAAGGAATTGTATCGGTGAGAAATTCTTTCTTCCACGTATCAGACTTACACTTGTTATATTAGGTTATATAAATGTATCACGCTGTAGCGCTGATGTCTACTGATATAAAAAACGAGTCCGCTGTAAAGTCAGAGCATTGAACACCGCGCCGTAAAATTGCTTGCATATCGGTTTTCTACAGGATATATTTCGAGAGTATTACACAATTTAATTCCGTCTTCCTCCTTCCGCCTCCACCATCATCGCGGGGCCAGACGTAGGCTGGGGTTCTCCACCCCTATGTTGTGGATATTCTAAGGATTCGAAGCGTTTCGCTTCTATATTTATACTGCGAACGGCTATGGAGTGGAATTCCCTGCCTGCAGACTTGTTCCTTGAACGGTGTACCTTGGGCCTTTACAAGGCGAGAGTGAATAGGCATTATTTAAGATATGCATGCTCCATCGTCGACTTCATCGTCACTTTTCATCACACGAGAATGAGGTCAAATGCGCACTATAGAAAAGAATGTGTGCTCGAAGGGAGTTTCTTGGGTTGAAACAAAAAGGTGCGACAATATTTCAGGTGTATGTACCAGTTGGCACAGCAGCACCGTAGGTAAACAGAAAGTTTTAAACCATGTCGTGCATATTTAGATGGTTCTAGTTCAATTATAAGAAACCGAGCAACATCATGTGCGAAGTGTCCTATCTCTTATATTCAGGATTATTGCAGTTATCTTTTATCAACTTCAGAACGACTTAATGGTCAAGTAGTCTCGTTGTTGCGATTTAAACTCGGGTCACTAAGTATACTGAAATAAGCTATTAATGCTGCCGTTGCATCATCATCACCATTAATAACATTACCGTCAGCTAATTATACGTAGCTAGGCAAAGATCTTCTTGCAAAGGTTTAGGGCATAGTCCATTATTCTGGCCCAAATGACGGTTGGGTTTACCACCATTAACCATGCTATGACTAACTATATGTATTTAACTGCCTCCGTGGCCGAACGGTTACCATGCTGGACTGCCACGCAGAGGTTCCAGGTTCGGTTCCCGGGCTGGGAGAAATATTTGTATGGCCTACATTTATTTATCTCGTGAGTTTGGGTGTAATTTGTGGTTGGCTATGTGTGTGTCCATGGCGCCCGCGGCACAAAGTTTCCCTAGTGCGGGACTATGCTGAGTGTGTGTGCGTTATGTTAAAAAACATTAAAAAAAAATTAGTTACCTATACAATAATTCGTGCTTATTTTACAGGTTCAAGATTCGCCCTCTGTGAAGTGAAAGTAATGGCATATCAGCTCCTAAACTCCTTCGAAGTGTTGCCATCGAAAAGAACGCCTATACCCATCACGTTGAGCCCCAGCACGTTCAGTTTGCGCGTAAAGGGTGGTCATTGGATGCTATTTAAGCCACGGAAAGTGATGTAAATAAACGTGTAAAAAAATAAGATTCCATAAGAATTATAAAGAGTGACAAATGCACATAATGTCAATTTTATTATCATAGTCATAATATTATGTAAATTAACGGATAACTCATCTATTTCAGTCGAATTTTTGTTGGAATTATTAGAACCAGTCCGTGGTACTTATAAAAAAAATCATGAGCTTCCACGGCGGTGACTCGATGAAAATTGTTGTAACTGACCAGTTATCGAACCCTCCTACGGAAATTATCGTATGTCGAAATTGCCAAGTTTACAGGAAAACGCTTTAAAATTTTGAATTCACTGAAATGAGCATGACACGTGACTTTAGCACTTCTCAGTTTTATTCAGCAAAGCTCGTACTCAGATAAAGTATTATAAAATGCTAGACATCTTAGATGATCTAACAAATGATCACGTTCCCCTGTAAACTTGGCAATTTCGACATACGATGCTTTACGTAGGAGGGGTCGTTATAGATTTTAAGGCTTTCGTGGTTATTCACTGAATGATTATCACTAATTACAGATTTTTCACCATGGTATGAGTTTTTTGTTTCCCGTTATTTCGGTCGGTTACACGCTCCATGGTCACGGGTTGACTCAGCCCTCAATGAACTCATACCGTGGTGAGAAACCTGTAATTAGTGATAATAATTTAGTCATAACATTAAGTGTTACACGTATAAGTATAATTATACGCTCCAATTATGGGCCCTGCAGAGGCATTGCAACATGTCATTAATCTTAAGTAATGAAATAAAATATTATATACAATTTTTTAATTTTTACCTTGCCACTTATTACCTTTTTTTTTTTTTATTCGGTTCACAAAACTGGATACAACTCTTAAATCAAATACAACAGATTGGTTAACATTATAAGGCGAGAAGAGTGTGTCCTTCTAGATGTGAACACAGCGTTTCGTATTTAAAACATAAAGTGCTTAAACAAAATTATAGTAAATTAAGATTTACATATCTACTATTTATGAAATAGGAAACAGACAACTAAAATTCATCGCGCAGTCACTATATAATACATTTTCTTATTGAGTTTCTAGCTGAGACCACAGAACAAGAGAATATGTCAAAATCATATCTGATAGCATTATAATAAGAGCACATGCGATACACTGGACTGTGTTGAAGTTTAATCTGCCAATTATAATTTAATAAACCATATCATCAGCTCTTTTAAATTCTGAATCAAAATTCTATTGTCTATGGTACTCGCCACTGAGCTGAAAAATTTCATTAGAGTTCTGCACACTGAACTAAAATGAGTTTCAAAAAAAGAACGTCGAATTTTTGTGCTAATTAAAATATCAATCAGGACGCTATTTAAACGTAAACGTACACTGCATAGTTAAATTGGCCGAAAAATCTTGCAACCGGGCCTTAAATCCTTATAAAAAAAATTCTTGGTTAAAATCCTTTAAGGTTTGTTTGGTCCATGGATTGGATTGTCAACAAAATATACGACGAAGTATTGGTTCTGTTTCATTATTATATTTGCTCGTACAAAAAGTATTGTACGCATTGACTTATAAGCATTGAATTATATGGACGTCGGGTCCGCGCTAAAAAGTGTCCGAACTTATAGGGCGTTAAAATCGTATACAGAGCGTCATTCACGCTTTAGTCTTCGTTTGTTCGACTGACAGCGAAGTAAGCAAAATTAGACAGCACTGCGGTGACATTACAATTTAAATTCAACGTTTTAGCTTTTTCATATTCCTTGACATGTCACTACGTTTAAATAGGTTGACTTGGGACATTTTTTTCGTGGTTTTTGTATTAGACCCGTCGTCCATTTATTTGTAAGTCAATGATTGTACGCAATCATTACATAATTAGGTCTTAAAATCACGTACTTAGGCCACTCGATAAAGCCACGTGGTCTAAACACGGTACCTATTATTTATTTAATGCTATTATGAAATTACAGGCGCATGAGACTTGTCAACTTATGTTTCAGGGTGTCGTGCGCAGTGGCACTGCCTCTCAGACTTTTGCGATTTAAAGCTCTGAGTGGCACTGCATCTGTTATGGACACACGACATCAGGCACACGACAACTTGTTCGTCCCGTCAGTTGATATTATTCTATAGCTATGTTATTCCGTAACGTATTTTTAAATGGCTATAAATTTTAATTTCATCGCGACTAAGAAATTTGCGGTTCCAAAATGGCCATTGATCTTTGTAAACATTTTAATTATCTGCACTCAATTTTAATATTTGGCTTAGTATAGCGTCCTGATTTTGATTAAAATAGGAGTCGATACGATCGGGTAGTCTCGAAATCAGATGGGCTTCTGAGCGAGAAGATCAACCTGAATCCTACTATATCTTTCTAATTTGTGAGTTTAATCAACTTTTCAAAAGTTTCCGATTGGCCAGTTGTAATCGCAATTATGCGGGTTTGATCACGATGTTTTTCCATTATCGTTTTCGAGAGGTTCTAAATCACAAATGTACGTAACTTAGAAATTAAAGTCATATGTATATTCCATCACAGTGATACGAATAGTCGACCTACAACGACCGCTCTATACAATAAATCAATATTTCTATCGCTCTACTTTATTTAAAAAACTAGCTGTTAATAATAACACATAGAGACAGGGAAGTATACGATTCAGGCGATCCACGTTCCCGCCGAGGTATATATAGTGCTTTTCTCAAACAATGCGAGTATATAAAGACTAAATAATGAAGGAGAATGTATAATATAAAAAAATGACAAATTTTTCTGTTCAAAATTAGACAGAGTTATTGTTTTTTACTCTTGTCACTACTCATTTTCGCGAAGAAAATATAAAAGATATATTACTGCCTCTGTGGCCGAACGGTTACCATGCTGATCTGCCACGCAGAGGTTCAATTCTCGGGCCGAGAGCAAAGAAAGTTTAAAAGTTTTAAAGAAAGTTTAGAGTAGCGGACAGTAATGGATTTTTATATTTATTTTGCTTGACTAGGGCGGCAAAGAGTTGTACACTCCATAACTAAAACACTTTTTGACCGACTTCAAAAAAGGACTTCGCAATTCGACTGTATGCTTTTTTTTGTATGTATATTAGGCGATAACTCCGGTATTTATGAACCGATTTCCACGATTCTTTTTTTGTTGGAAAGGGGGTACTTCCATAGTGGTCCCATTTCATTTTGAAGGAAATCATCCACCTCTAAGGCTGTTCACGCATGAAGATTCATTTTTATAAATAGCGCCTAAATTTTCTTAAGGGGCAATTATTTTGATGGTTGATTTTGCTATTTCTCCAATTCAAGGCGTTTTTCTCTCCATATTCTTTAAGTAGTGAGAACCGATTTTTATTATCTCCAGTGTCAAGTCCTGTATAGTGGCGAATTTAAGGATATTTCAATAAAACTTAGCAAATAGACGTAATTCCACGTACTTTTGAGGTCGGTTTTTTTAGTACTCTGTACTGAGATTATTTGATTATTTTTTTGAAAGTAATGTAATCATTCCCGAGTATATTTGAGAAAAACTTGTATTTGTAACAAAAAATTATTTATATTAATTTTTAAATGTCATGATTTAACTAGAAAAATATAATTTTTATCTATATTTGATTCTTTTTTATTTTGGCATTTAATTTTGAGGGGTAAGAGAGTACTGGTGAAGTTACAGGCACATGGGACTTGTCAATGTCTTAGACTCTAAGAGTCGTATTCCAGAACTCTACTCAATACTCAAGTCAGAACTTGAGTATTACATTAAGCACTGAAAATCATACTCAAGTCCTTGCCATTAGGGTCGTATTTCCAGTGCTTGAAATCATACTCAAGTCTGTTCAAGTACTGACTTGAGCATTGAGTAGAGTTCTGGAATACGACCCTGAGATTTGCTGTGGCAGTACACGTACTTTGCCCACCTATTTTCCAGATAGAAATCGGAGGCTATAGGCACGCTCACTTTCCGTTGTGCATTGCACAACTAACTAATGGTTGCCACCGCTAATCCGTTGAGTCTAAAGTCCACTACCAAATCTCCACTTGGTGGCGGAGCTGGCAGCAGGAGTCCGTTTATTGTTTACTCGCTTTCAATTATCATATTTGTATAAAAACTTGCCAACAATATTTTAGGTTCAAAATTATAACGTACGTACGTTAGATAATAAAAGGCACCACACATTATAATCCGTGATAATTAAATGCTTCTTTGCCGTATTAAGAAACAAATTTTTGAGATAACCAAAACACAAAGTCGATATTTCTACACCTTTATCGGAAACGTGCACGTGAAAAGCACTCATGCTGTGGATCCGTGAATTTTAATGATATTTTAATTAACATTTTGATAAACACAATGCACAGCCTAGGCAGTACAGCCAAATCGTTGTATCACGGATTTGAGAGATGAATTTGAAGATATTACGACATAGGCACCCCTCATGGAAGAATGGTATAAGTGGAGTCACGTCAAAAACGATTATTGCTCCATTACAGACAGAAAAGTATAACCCACATCCTCTCTAATTCTTGTAACTCTAGCGACTAATATTGTAGATCGAGTTACGAGAATTGGAAAGGATGTGGGTTATATTTTTGTATCTAATGGAGCAATAAACATCTTTGACTCCACTTATGCCATTCTTCCATAAGGGGTGCAATATTATGATATTTTTAAACTAGCGTCATAGTACGGACAACGGCACATCAGACTACACATTTTTGTTTGAAAATCGCCTCCATTGCAACTGAACAAGATACGTCAATGTGTAGTTAGATGTGCTGGCGTGTGTACTATAGAAGGCGTCGTTGAACGTGTCAGTATGTTTTTTCTTCATCTAAACAAGAATCTAACTTTTTCTTTCGATGAGGTGCACCATAGTCTTTCGTCAAGTTCGAATTTCAAAAACCTTTTACACGCTAGGTTGGAAAAACGCTTTTGAGCGCAGATTTCTAATGAGAAAGAAAGACTTTCCGAGCTAGTGAGGTGAGAAATAAATTTTAATATGCAAAATTATTGTTTGTTTGAAAAAACCAACACCGTATATTATTTATTCTTCATAACCTAAATTCAATTTAGGTTATGAAGAATAGTTTAATACCACTTAACCGAGTCACTTCAATTTGTCTTAAAAAATATTGGAATTTTTTATTTTGATTTTGACACAGGTGTTAACTTTGATAGCTGACTACAACTACATGACTGTTTAAACTTTTTTGAAAACTGGCAACCCTGCAAGTTTCGTTTTACTCCGTCTTCAGAAATCGGTGAACACACTGTACATATCTTTCATTCGCTCGATTCCCACGGGATTCCTTCCCAAGATTCTGACTTGGTGACAATGGGACTATCTCGAGAGTATACCTTTTCAAACTAAAAACGGAATTAATAAAAGCGGTCCACCATTGACGGAGAAATCGTTGAATACACTGTACATGCCTATAAAATTTGAGGATTTCGCTCGATTTCCATGAGATTCCCTCATCATATTCTGACTTGGTGACAATGGGACCACCTCGAGAGTGCACCCTTTGATAAAAAAAAGATTTTTCAAAATGGGTTCACAATTAACGGAGAAATCAGACAACATACATAAAACATACTTACAAAATTACATGGTACCACAGTTAAATACACATTAATAATAACGCACCACGGAATCGGGGCTTAGAAATAAATTTATAAAGTCATTTAATTTAATATAACGTATAAAATACAATCGAAACAAGTCTTTTAGCCAAAGACCATGAAAGAAAAATCATTTGATATTTATATCATATTTAATGAGTACAGCACTGTCTATGTAAACATCGTTGAATTAAGTAGTTTTCTTAGGTTTTCGCGATTGTTACACATAGGAAATTTGGTTTTTTATATACGCGTATATTTGTTTTTCCAAACAAACCGACGTTTCGTTTGAAAAAACATACGCGATTTAAATCCGGAAAAATAGTTTCATTTGTTAAGTAATTTTTTTTTCAAAGTACTGCACTCTAACAAATTATTGCAGCACTTTTATGACAATCAGCAGACACTTAAACTTGTAACTTAACTTAGCCTAACTTTCGAAGTGTTTTGCGTATGTTCAAATAGATGGCGCTGTTTAACGATTTACACCATAGCCTGAAAGTTCTGGTCATATGGTCAGCTTGGCAGATAGCTATTTTTCGATAGATGGAGCCACTTCAGCACAACTGCAATTAAATATCATCTTAAAAATTCAACTTATCATCTAAAAATATGAAAATCACTTTTGCGATAGCTACTTAATAATCAACGTCCGCTTCATAAAATAATATTTGTAGGATGTTTAGCGAAAATATTTACTAGGAAATGAAACTATTTTTCCGGATTTAAATCGCGTATATTTGTTTTTTCAAACAAACCGACGTTTCGGGCCCTTTACAGGTCCCATGGTCACGGTTGACGTCAACCGGAAAAATAGTTTCATTTCCTATGTGTAACAATCGCGAAAACCTAAGAACTCGATATTTACTAGGAATTATAACACTATGCAATAAGGAAATAAACTATGGGGTTGAAGAGAAAAACGAAACTAAACTCAAGTATTGTATTTTCACCTGTTTGGATGTAACACGTTAATTGAATAAATAATGTTTACTTAAATTAATTTGGTAAAATGTTTTGTTATATTTGACTGTTTTTGTTTCTTATTAACATAACTTTCTTATTATTTATATTTCTTATTAATATAACAGTTGCAATGTCACTCAGAGCTATAAATCACAAAGATCTAAGGAGCATTGACACTGCGCCCGACACCCTGAGACATAACTTGACAAATACCGTGTGCCTGTAATCTCACTAGCACCCTTACCCTTCGGAACTTAAACCGGAACGCAGTAATGTGCACATTTCTGCTTCGCGGCAGAAATAGGTAAGGTGGCAGTACTTCCCTCGACGAACTCTTTCACAAGGAGCTCTACTACCGTTTTCTCTTGTACCACCTCACATTTGATGAAGGAGCCTAGAAAGCAACGTATATTTATCTAATTGTATACTAGGTAGGTACGGTGCTCAGTGTAAACACCACATGTTACACCGAGGCAAGGTATGCGAAACTTACCTACAATAGTTCACTTTGTATCGTGAATAAGTCAGACTACATTATTTAGAACTTTTTATGCTACAAAAGCAACATTCGTCACATCGTCATAGGTACATTGCTGTCTTTTATTTTATATAGTAACGAATATAATGTTACCATTTGTTACTGAGCAATCAATATGATAAATTTTGGAAGGTATTGAACATAAAGATAGTATTGTGTAGTTGGCTTAAGCGTCTCAAGGTTTAATTCTAGGTCCAATGCTGTTATTAGTTTATAAAGCATGTAGACTCATTCATCGTTTGGGGTTTTTGGGAAAGACCTATGTCCAGAAGTGAACACATTTCGGCTGAAATGATGAAGATATAGGGCGCTTCACGTCGAAAGTGCTGAGATAACTTAATAGTTTGACCTACCGCTTCTCAAGCAGAGGGCCGTGGGTTCGAATCTATGTGTGAAGTTCAATTTGAAAATTACCATGAGCTTTTCGGTGAAGGAAAACATCGTGATGAAGCCTGCACGTCGAAGAAGGTTCACAAAATGACCAACCTCGGTAAACGTGTGAAGACTCCAACCCGCATTGGGACAGCGCGAGCGTGGCGGTTTATGGCTCAAACCCTCGTCTGATGCGAGACCCGTGCCCACCAGTGGGACGTATAAGTGGTTAAAAGTGCCCACAAGTTGGTTGATAACGTTGCAAGCCCACGACACATCAATTTGGCAGCACGACCGCGTTATCTTAAGCCAAATATACATTTTAGAATTTTACACGTATACAGCACCACAATAGCACGAACGGCTGTTATTTCGATACCCTTAAGTATGAGGTAATATTACTATACTATATTACTTTTTGTTTATGTATACATTTATCACGATCAAGGACAATAAACGATTTATTATCATGGATTTTGCACTCTTCCTTTTATTATCTCTAATAAGTGCTTGTTTTGTATTGTACAACGTAACTCCATTGTTTAGTTTCCTGAAAATTTTATTTATCATGGTGCAATGATTTCGCAATATTTCTCATGCACTTGAAATATTGTTGCTAAGTTTTTATATGAACATAAACGTCAATTAGCAAAGATAAAGATGTACTAGTGCGCAGAAAATAATGAACTTTATGGTAATGGAACTGAGTACCTTTTAGATCCAAATTCTCTTGTTAGTGAATAACTACTGAGGTACACGCTTTCCAATAAAAAATAATTATCAAAATCGGTTCACAAACGAGTTATCGTGTAACATACTTAAAAAAATATAGTTTAGGTGAGAACTTCCTCCTTTATTGAAGTCCATTAAAAATAACGAACAACTTTAGATGATTAGCGACTGTTTTAGTCGACTGTACTTTCTACCTTTTGTCTTTTTGAGTCTTTAATATACGACAAACTCCATGGTCGAGTGGCTTCCACACCGGCGTTGCCATCTCTGAAGTCCCGGGTTCGATCCCTGGCCGGTTCAATGTAGAGACACTTTTCTATATTGTCTCGGGTTTGGGTGGTACTGTTTCAGATTTCCATGACACAAGTGCTTTAGTAAGGGATCAAATCAACATATGTGACGTTGTCTAATATTTATTTATTATTAATACATGTGTTCGTGCATAGATAATTCGAATGCTTACATAGTTTGTTAACGTTGATAATATCAGTTTAAAATGTTTATAATTTTATCTCTTGCAAATAAATACGCCTGGCTGAGCTTCGTTTATTCATTGTTATACGGTTTTCGCGGCTGTAGCAAAATTAGTAATCGCCCAGCACCTGCACCGACAGCCCGCCTTCCGGGACGTCGCCGTGACTGTTTATAATTGTGTAACCAAATAAGTTTGTTTTATAACAGTATTAAATATTTAATATAATTTTGGATTGGAACTAGCAAGGTAAATACTTTTGGGTTTTTTTTATATTTCAAAGTATATTGTATTTAGATAGGCTTTTGGTAATCCTTCATGCATGTCATAACATTAAATATTATATAGATTTTTAATAGATAACTCTAATAACCAACAATTTATTGGAGATACCATCATAATAACCTAACCTAAACTAGTGTAACTAAATATGTAACTACATATTTTTTTATGTTTAGTTACACAAGTTTACATAAGTGTATATAACTAAATATATGTTTATATTAAAAAACTGATTTATAATTTAGAGTTTAAATTAAATTACGATTGAAGTAATTATTCATTTGTTTAACTGTTTTTCTGTGTTTGTATAACTTGTAACTTATTTTAAGCGTGAAACACACTAACAACGGGTGCGGGTCGGGCGCGAGTCGGGTCGGGAGCACGGCGGGTGTATATCCGTGTATTTATATGGACAACAATGTCGCAGGTCAGGACCCGCGTCCGCTTCTGGTGTGTTGTGCATATAAATACACGGAATTATACCCGACCCGACATGCGCCCGACCCGCGCTCGCTGTCATTGTTTTGTACGTTTTATAGTAATTTAAAAGTAATCTTGAAAATTTTTGTAGATGCTGGTGTGGATATGGCTGGGTTGCCTCGTGGCCGCTGTAGTTTTGTACTTTCGACAAGTGTACAGCTTCTTTAAAAAGCGGGGTGTGAAAACACCCCCGATTATACCGCCTTTCGGCACTATGGTGGGCGTATTGTTGCAGCAAGAGCATTTCGCTGATCATATCTCCAGATTTTATAAGAAATTTTCTGATCAGAGGTAAGTGATTTCTTTTTTAAATTGAGAATTTATTTCTTCACTTTATTTGATAGCAGCTGTTGTGTCAAAAGTTGTTAATTCTTTACGGCGCTAGAAGCCATGATGCTTTTGTTTACCTTCGTGGCCGAACGGTTACCATCGGACTGCCGCGCAGAGGTGTCAGGTTCGATTCCCGGGCCGGGAAAATTATTTGTATGATGAGTGTTTGTCTATGTGTGTGTCCATGGCACCCGCGACACAGGGTTTCCCTAGTGCGGGGCTATGTTGAGTATGTGTATGTTGAGTGTGTTTTCAGTAATTTTACTGTCATTATTAGTTAGTTCATTTTCCGTATTTCTTAATATAAGTTGATAATGCATAAGAACTGACTAATATTACAAATGTTTTCCTCTTCTTCTTGTCGTATCGATGGCATACACTATAATGTTTAAATCGTGGTGAAGGAATTTGTCGATCGACGTAAGGTACTTGCCGATTATTCCCAGGATGCACCATACGTACAGACGCCGACTGTACATGTGGTGCGGTACTGTAAACGCGTGGCTGTAAATTAATATTATTTAGCGGGGGGATGAACAGGCGCACCACTTGCGCCACCAAATCTGGACAATCGGAATCTCCTCGCAAGATGCCACCAGCACAATTCAGTAGACCATAATTGCGTCTTACTTCTAAAGAATTAAGCCCCAAGACGCCAAGGAGGAATTTTGTAGGGTATAAAAATGGATAGTACCCTTACATTTTCTTATACAAGAATCTCAGAAATGTCTTTTGGATTTTGTTCAGAAGCTTTGACGGATCTTGTTCCGTTGCACAGGAGGACCGTCTTACCATACGAACAAAAGTGTATAGCTTAGTATGCTATTGACTTACAAGAAAGGAATGGTATGTCGTGAGGGGAGGTTCTTTTTTTTCGTTTCAATTAACTTGCCTTCACCCCTTTCGCAAATCTGTCGCACTATCGTCATTCGTGTAATCGGCATTCACACTCGCGTAGTACACCCTCTTTTCGTGCACTCTACAAATGCTAGTACACTGTTCGTTACGATCTAATCTAGTGTAGAATAGAATTAATGTAGACTAATTTCTGATAATACTTCAAGAGATCTATTGAGATAACTAGATAGTGTTATCGTCGTACTCGTAGATACGACTATAATTGCGGTTGTAGTGCTGCAGAAGTACAATGTAGCTATTTATTATCCTACTAATGGACCTCAGGTAATTTACATTCCTTGCGTTGTACATCATAATATATCATAAGTATTTCGCACAGTCCAAAGTATAAAGCTGAGTGTACCTACAGTTTGCTTAAACGGCTGATCCTAAGTTTTAAAATCGACTTTAGTACTCTATTAACAAAGCAATAATTCAAATTTGAATTTGTCATCACATCATGTTTGGACAACTCTGCTGCCTACGTCGTCTAAAGCCCCGTAAAACATAAGATCACAGGTACAAAATGCGGTACTTCAAAGTTTTAAAACATCTAGATGACCTTCTAGTGATGCAAACCTTTATAAAAATATTGACTCGTATAATGCGCAGTACAAAGTTTATTTATTATTTACCTTAACAGATACTTATTTATACGGAAGTTCGATATTATATACAGCAGTAATAATTTAGTTAAAGAATGGTTATCTACCATAAATCCGAAATGAAGTTTGCTCAAATTCTTATAATCTAGGCAGTAACTTTCCACGTTATGTTTTTTTAGTAATATTGTGAAACATAAACTAATTTTTTCCTTTCGATAAGCAAACAAAATATCTTGAAAGAAAAGCGAGTTCATTTTGATCGGATTTCGGATTTATGAGATTTCAAGCAAACGTTATATTGGGCAAATGTAATTCGGATGTCCGACTCCAGATAGGTTATCTTAGAGAATATTTTTAGCGCCACTATCCACAGCGCCAACCAATGAATAGCTGTAGAGTTGTTTGGAATAAACGGACGAGTAGATGTCAAAAGTATGAAATCGATACCTACAATGAACACTAAGCCAACTTAATTTTTGGACCTGCTCTGTTTTTATTTTGTTTTTGTTTCTTTTTTTTTACAAAACTCGTTTTTTTTGTTCTTATTTCTTTTTTTCACAAAATTCGGGGAGCACAATTAAGATTATATTTATATTAAGCAGCCATACTTACTAAGGCAAATAAATATGGCTGTTTACAAAAATAACAGAAGATGACCAAAAAATAAAGATGGCGTAGTGTTCATTGGAGGTATCGAAATAGGATTAATAAGCTCATTTAGAAAGCTAATTATCACTTCCTTAGGGCGAACAACAACATCGAAGTATATAGTCTGCATATCGGAGAACAAATAACTATTTTGAAGACTTGAAGTACCTAATTACACAGGGCCAACGTGATGATCTATAGCCTAAACGCTTTACTTAGTCACTACCAGTTAATGATTTATCAGTAATAGTTAGATGTTGACAAATATAGAGCCTATAGAGTGCCACAAGGCACGGTCCTGCAACCTCTTTTATTTTATAATACCAAGTAACGGAACGAACAAGTCGTGTGCTTGATGGTATGCTACATAATAGTTGCAGTGCCACTCAGAGCTTTAAATGGCAAAAATCTGAGGGGCACTGCCACTGCGCTTATCACCCTGAGACATAAGTTGACAAGTCCCATGTGCATGTAATTTCACCACCCCCCTTACCCTTCTAAACCGGAACGCAGTAGTAATGGTCAGTACTTCTCTGGACGATCTCTTTCACAAGGAGCTGTACTGCTACTAAAGCTTTACATAAATCCATAAACTTTTTAGATACATACATGCACATAAGTAGACTCTCACCTGTGTCCAGTAAGGCAAGCAGAGTTTACGGATTTCCACTTGCTAGCCCACCTAAAATTTCTGAATTTTATAAATCATTTACTCCGTCATTCATTTCAGTTCGTCCATGCACGGCAGTATCGTCATTGTGCGTTTTTAAATCTCAGTAAACTAGTCCGATCGATCTTCTCCAACCATTGTATGAAATATAGGCAACGTCACATCAAGGTATACATTTTTGTTTGAATATCGCCTCCAGTGTAACGGAACAAGAGCCGTCAATGTGTAATTTGATTCACTGCCATCTGTACACCAACCGTATCACGTATCCATCTGTCGACCTTCATGCAGGTAGAGTTTTGGCCGAAGGGTGTCATGTTCCGGCGGTTCAGAGGAACGATACATGACACTTGTTTGCGTCGCATGTCGCCGAATAGTAATTCGTGTAAATAGTTAATAAGTTTATATTATTTTATATGTATGATAGTTTCTAAGGTATTTATCAATAATAATAATATGTATGTTAGTCTGTAAGGTATTTGTTATATGGGCCTTAGTTGCCTGAAATAAATGAATAAATAAATAAAAAAATAAAAAAGTAACTGTTAAAAATTAAAAAAAAATGGTTAAAAATTACACATTTTTAACCATTTGCTAACATCGATATAGTCGGTGTTCTGTAGAAAGGGCCGACATTCAGGTTGCATGTTTTTGGTTTTAACGATTGTTTTACAATATTTACATCCTGTTTTAATATTCTATTTTGGTTATAATTAATCAAGTTTTAAAATTGAATTCTAAAATGGGACGTAAAGATTTTAAAACAGCCGTTAATACCTAAAACATGCTTGTCTGTAAAATCTATGAAATGTCGCTTACGCCATTTCAACAAAACATCGACGATATACACAGACCAATTTATATTATACATATAATGCAGATTTCATTTATTTTATTCCACGAGGTCTACTCGTTCAAATCTGTCAAGATAAACAGTTTAATAAAAACGTAAATGTAATTAACGTAATTCAACGCCACATAACAAAAACAAAGAATAAAGATAAAAAGAAATATATGAATAGGTAACGGTAAAGGTTGGTGCAGTCAACAGCACATCAAGATATACAATACTTTTTTGAATATCGCCTCCAGTGCAACGGAACAAGATCTGCCAATGTATAGCATAATGTGCTGCCGTCTGTACATAGACGTGTTTATCTTTTTTTATCATTTTGTGTTGTCTCAAGTCTGAGTAATTCGGGGCTAGATTTTTGTTTCTCTTGTATTGTATACAAACGGACAAACATACAGATGGGCCTGGTTGTGGGTACCCATGGATTATAGATACTTTCTATATTGACGAAGTGTCTTTAATATTGCAAATACATTCCCAGCCGTGAGACATGGGCTTTTTAGTTTCCTGGGCAAATGATTGGGTCTATGAAAATTTAACGAGCACAAAAATTCTTTACTGGTGCTTGCTAAAAACAATGAACGATATGCCAAACAATTCAAAGGGCAAAAGGAGGTGTCTCAGCTTGTGCTGGCTGGAACCGTCGTTGTTGTAGACAGTGCCTATGCACATGAAGTTACCGGTGGCATTGAAAAAGCCCGAAACGTTGGTTTTGTTTGAAAAAAAAGACAATTATACCCGATTTAGAGCCGAAAATTTTAATATAATTATAAAATGCCCTCATATACTTTCATATTTAGCGTAAAAACATCCATTCCCGCGTGCAAGATCGTCACACTTTTTGTTTCGAGGTCAACCTCGTGGCGTTTGTAACTGTCTTCCTCCCCTTGTGCGACCCTCTGAGAGCTCCACCAGAATAGAAAAGATGTTTCCGCTTTGCTGGGTTATAAGGCCAATATTGCCGGTACTGGAAATATGTAGTTTAAAATTCCGCAACATGGCGTCGAAGGTATTGTACGAAAGCATTACAAGACGGTTTGGTAAAGCGCCCACCCACACCCATAACATTGAAATAGTAATCTCTGATTGGATACTTTCAGCTGGCAAAGCGTTTGCAATGTTTTTGGTAGACATGACTTGCTATAATAGCAATGGGTAGACCAGAAGCTTCTTGCTGTTAAGTTTGTTTACGTAATATAGAAATGCTAGACGTGTTAAAATGCCCTCAAGTTTTATAATGATACTGATAATCGTTTTGCGTATTAAACAACAAAAGTTTATTGTTGTTGATTACCTATAAGTACAATTGTGTCACTGCACACTTTTTATCGTTCAATCGCATTGAATTAGCCCTTGAAAATCTATCATTATCACAAATTGTCACTTCTATTATCATAAGTCTACAAACAATACGAATCTAGATAATTTTTAATGGTGCAAGATAATGATAATTTTATTATGATATCATTTATACGAAATTTTCTCTGCAATATTTCATAAGTACTCAAAAATATCTGAACATTTAATAAAGTTTGACTTTTGCTTGATTTGATAGTTCAGTTGATTTTGACACTGACTGAACCCGTACTAAACCAACTAAGGTACCATTAGAATACATCATCATTTTTTTACAAAGATTTTCATTATGATGAGATTTGTAATGCAATAAGCAAATTAATGTGATACTTTTGTTGAATTATTTTGTTAGGTTCTACGGTGAGTTCCAGTTGATGAAGCCACTTCTGCAGGTGAGAGACATCGAGCTGATTAAGAAGATTGGCATAAAAGACTTCGAGCACTTCCTGGATCACAACACTTTTATCGAAGAGCAATACGACCCACTTTTTGGGAGAAACCTATTCTCTTTAAAAGGTAGCTAGTGTATTACGTGCCTTTAGCAATTAGGATATCTTCCTAAATATATTCACTGATGTAGGCTTGTCCTAAAACAGGAAAATCCTAATTTTCATTTTCTCTCACACCGACATAATCACCTCGTTCGGCTAGATTTTGAAAGGTGATAATCGCAGTAAAGTATAAATACCATTTCAATAATGCGTCGCCCATGTAAATCTCACTGTCTTCTTTTAGGAAGGGCCGTACGTAGTAGTACCTACGTACGTAACACATGGAGTAGCCATAACTTTGAACTCACTCACTTACGTATATAACAATGGTGTAAGTTTTGCTGCCAAACTTATAATATTAATACGAAAGTCGTCCCAAAGAGCGCATCCTCTTTCATTTGATTGCGGTATTGAGGATGTGCCGGTGGCTTTTGTTGGTGGTTTTTGTGGCCAGCTCGATATCCCTGTCTATCCTGTAGACAAAACAATTACATGATTGTCAGTACTATGTTTTGGCAGTGAATTTGCTAACATTAGTCTATTAAATTCTTCTGTCTGTTGGCCATTTCAGTAAACTCGCTGGTGATAATGATCAAGGCGATAGTAAATAACACAACGCCACTTCCTCCATCACAATATTTTCATCAAAGTGAAGCACCACCTTTCAGAAAAAACCGCTTCTCTTTAAAAGGTAGCACATAGTTATGCCCTGTGGTTCCCTATTAGTATTGCTGTTTGTATGTACTCGTGCAATAACAGGACTTTAGTCTTCAATTTTTGACATGTTACCATAAATATCTCGTTTATTTTGGTTTGGCAGATGATTTAACAAACGTATTTTACCATAATGTAGGCTCTTTTTTTGTGTCGAATAAAGAGTGCAAAAAAACTGTCTTCAATTTTAAAACTCTCGATCATCAGGCCAAGAATGGAAGGACATGCGATCGACCCTCAGTCCTGCTTTCACCAGCTCCAAAATGAAAATGATGCTACCATTAATGGTGGCAGTTGGAGATCAAATGATCCTCTCTCTTAAGAAGAAAATTAAGGAGTCCAAACGTAAGTCATCTTTGGAATTTATTATTACTTTCCAAAAATCTTTTTTGACGTGCTGACGATTCTTTTTTTCACTATTGAGTACAAATGTCGAGAGGTACCTATAGTTGATGTGCAATGACCAACAGATGAATAATACTTACAAGGGTGTGTCTACTTCAGCTTTCATAATAATAGAGATTGTCGTTTTAGTACAAAATGTACAATATCGCAAAAGTTTTTTTTTATATTTAATACAGACTCTATTATGGACACTTACAATTATTATTAAAACCTTTTGCAAAGTTTTTTTTATACATTCTTCTGTTTATAGATGGTTATTTGGATATTGATGCGAAAGACCTAACGACCAGATACGCGAATGACGTCATTGCTTCTTGTGCCTTTGGCCTGAAGGTCGATTCTCACACGGAGGAGGACAACCAATTTTACGCAATGGGAAAAACTGCTTCAAACTTTAAGTTTCGTCAGCTACTCATGTTTTTCTTGCTGAGTTCTTTTCCGAAAGTGGCTGGAGTGAGTATCTTAAGAGCGTTTGCATATTACGTCCAATTCGTATCAGTTCCAAACCCGAGAAATGACGGCCAGAAATGTCATAGGTGTCCGAAGTGTCATTTCATCTCAAGGTGTACAAATGATATTCGAATTTTCTCGGATTCGAATAGGACTTAGTGCACAAGCTACATCCAAAGTGGGTCCGGGTTTTCTTCATTTGTAGTCTCGGATTCGGAATGAATACAAACACAGTGAGCAGACTTCCCCGTTAACGAGCCCGTTGGTGTAACGAAGTTAGTAATGTTTTCGTTATGAATCTATATCAAATAAAGATCAATATATACTGTTAAAAAGTTTATTGGTTGTTTGAGATTTGTTTCATCTCTGAATATTGGTTTTGGTGCCTTGTGTGATCTTTTAGAGATAGCAAAAAAATCCATAATTATACTTTAGGTACAAAAAGCATTCCGAAACTTTTGAAGTTACTTTTTGTGAGTTACAAAAAAAAACATAACATTCGGTTGTATCATAACAAATCTCTACCGGCATTAAAACATATTTGCGGTCATTCCATTATTTAGTTTTTGCTGTAGTTGTAATATTATACCAATGTTTTTTTCCATGGAAGGATAAAAGATATCACAATTGGTTTTCGGGTACCGTATACCGGGGTTACTTTGATCTACGGGATTACTTTGATCAAAACTTCCTTTTCACATAAAAATGCAAATTGCGTAAAAGGCAACTACTTTTGGGAGATTTTTTTTTTCGGGTGGCAATACTGATAAACAGTCAAATTCATTTCTGCGGGTGCGCTGGAGATTTCTCTGTATTTTGTGTACAAAAATGTAAGTTTTTCGTTACAACCTATTTTTCATTAAAAAAATGTGTTGCAAAACTTCATGTGCAGCTCAGTGTGTGTTAGTATCATGATTTTTTTGGGTAGAATCCAAAGAGTATTGTACATGTGTGAATTCATTACAAAATTTTTTGTTGTTCTAACCTTAAAGCTTCCGTTATGGCGTCGGTTTATTATATGCGGTGTGTCATTGATAGGGTGCATGGTGTGAGATTGATCATGTGATCAAAGTTACCCCAGCTGCTAGCAGGAAAATTTGCTTTGTGGCTTTGCTTTAATATTTTTAATATTATTTGTTTTTCAGAACGATGCCACGAATATATAAAAGAAAACTAGGTTCCCGCGAGTACCGAAATTACACAGAAGCCAGGTTAGAAGAAGCATTAACTCAAATCGTGGACGGTAAGCTAACCATCAGAGGGGCATCACAGCTTTATAATATATCTTATGGAACTTTGTATAATAAATACAAAGGGACGCACGTTAAAAAGCCTGGCGCTCAACCAGTTTTCTCGGAATCTGAGGAAGAAGCTTTACTGAAATCAGCGGCAAAGTGTGCAGACTGGGGTTATCCTCTGACTATTCTGGATTTAAGGTTCCTCGCAAAAGCTTTTCTGGACAGACAAGGGCGAGTGGTCTCTAAATTTACTAACAATCTTCCCGGAGTTGAGTGGGTATATTCTCTTCTACGACGCCATAAAGGTGAATACTCTCAAAGGGTTTCATCAAATATTAAAAAAGCTAGAGCAAATGTTTCTCATGAGAGTATACATGCTTACTTTAACAATCTTACAACTGTTGTTAAAGATTTGCCAGCGTCTAATATTTTTAACTATGATGAGACGAACATGAGCGATGACCCTGGAAAAAAACAAGGCATTTACAGACGAGGGGTCAAATATCCAGAAAAAATTATTAATTTCTCAAAAAGTGCTACTACAGTGATGGTATGCGGGTCTGCTGATGGTGTTATTTTGCCACCCTATGTCATATACAAAAGTGCACATCTATACGATACATGGAAAGAAGAGGGACCGCGGGGTGCACCATGTTGCGGGAAGACCTGCTGCTCCCAGGGATCTCGATTTAACAGAACCAGCAGTGGCTGGATAGATAGCATAACGTTCCGTGATTGGTTTAGGACTTCTTTTTTGCCGCACGCCAAAGCATTGCCAGGTAGAAAAGTTTTGATTGGGGACAATCTATCCTCACATATGGATGATGACGTTCTAAATGAATGTGAAAAAAACAACATTGATTTTGTTTGCCTGGTTCCATACTCAACTCATTTATGTCAGCCGTTAGACGTGGCCTTCTTCAGGCCAATGAAAAGCGCTTGGAGAAACGTATTGACTAACTGGAAAATGCAAAACCCTCGTTTATCAACTGTCCCAAAAGATACTTTTCCGCGCTTGCTCCAAAAGGCACTAAAAAAGATAGATTCAGTCCAAGCCAAACCAAACTCACCTTTTGCAAATGTCACTGAAGGAGTGAAAAGAAATTTAATGAGTGCTTTTAAAGCCACTGGCATATTTCCCCTATCGAGAGAACAGGTGTTGAAACGACTGCCTATTGTAGAAAATAGCGACCCGACGAACGAAGTTGAAAGTTGTTTAACTGACTATCTCAGAGAACAGCGTTACGGTGGTCAATTAGTAGGTTCTAGAAGAAGGACAAGACTAAATGTTGAGCCAGGTGCTAGCGTCTCTACTGCTAATGCAGTTGACACGCAAGCGCCTGAGAGAGATGCCCATGACTTAAATGCTTCTAATATGGACCAAGGAAACTTACCTTCAAATAATGTTGAAGAGGTACCGCGTGATCTGGTCCCTATAGATGAGGCCACTGAGTCTGAAAATCCAGTTTCAGAGACACAAGAAGATTTAGAAGTAGGGAGATTTGTCTTGGTAAAATTTTACTCTCGTCGAGGAAAGAAAACTTACAAATATGTTTGCCGAATTACCTGTATGGACCCCTTATTAGTCGAAGGTTTTAAATCGATGGGAAATAAAAAAGACTTCAGACTTGTACGTGACGACATATCAGAAATTGAAGAGACTGATATTTTAAGCTATCTGTCAAGGCCTCGAACTTTTGCTAGTAAAGATAATGTTGAATGCGTTCAGTTTAACTTTGATGTTAATATTTTAGAACTTCCTTGAATTAACAATTTTGTTACATTCACTATGGCTACTTTGAATGATCTCTTTTATTGAAATTTTGATCTCATTTTGTGAACTTATAAAAAATATAATTAGATATAAGGTAAAAGAAATTGTCTATGCATATTGTGTTTGAATTTGTTTTTTGAAGAATTTTATTGTCACATGACATAGGTACTAGTTGTAAGCTATAAGAAGTTTTCTACGAATATTTTGTTTGAATTTGATTTTTGAAGATTTTATTATCATCGAGTGACATATTAGAAGACTGTTACAGTCAACAATCTTTAATTAAAACAAAGGTTCTGTCATATATGGTAGTTTTATTCGATCAAAGTCACCCCAAGGTATAAAAACAGCAATAACTTTTTTCCCTGTTGACCGATTTTTAATTTCTTTTTTGTTTTAGGATAGTAATTGGGGTTACTTCCAATATTCATGCTAAAAAAGGGGGGTTTCAAAGTAACCCCAAATCAATTATAACTTTAATCACGCTGTTTTTATTTTTTTTCTCAAAAAGTATTGAATAATTGTTTATTCTTTTAACGTTTTTAGAGAGAACTATTAAAACCGATAAGTCCACATTTTTTATATAAAAAAAAAATCACGGGATAAAAAGTTACAGACGTTTAAATTTCAAAATTGATCAAAGTAACCTCGGTTTACGGTAGTACATGTTTACACTTTGGGCGCGGGTGTGTGAAGAAAATTTAGTATAAAATAACTGCATATATTTTTTTACGACTCTACAATTTTTTTTTTATTTATTGTTTAGGAAAGCAACACGATGCATATATATACAGCAATGTTTCTGTATACACATATTAGCTACCACAGCAAGCTATACAGATAGGAAATGCAACAATTTTTTTGGGATCAGAATTGCGTTCATTTGTTTTCTCAAACAAACCAAAGTGTCGTGGCCTTTACAGTTATGTCTAATATTAATATTACACATATCTAGTTGATGACTTTACCATCTCAGTAAGCCGTGACCATAGGACCTGTAAAGGGCCCGAAACGTTGGTTTGTTTGAAGAAACAAATATACACTTATTTCATTTCCTATGTGTTATAAGCGCGAAAATCTAAGAACTCGATAAGCTATTCAGATTCAAGAATGTATGAGCCTTACAATTATGATTACAATTTTACCTTACAATAAAAAATAACAAGTAAAAATAAAATATAAAATGGTACAAACCAGATCAGTATGAATTTTGGATAAAATATATATTTATTAATTTTAGTTTTAAAAGTAGCTAGCGAGTCACTAAATTGTTTTATTTTCGGTCAGATGAACTGATCAGTCTGACATAAAAACTTTAACATAAAAAAAATTGTCTCGAAATAATTAAACATTTTTTTTTTCAATTGCCTGCTTATTAAAACATTTAATTATATTTTTAGATATTCAAATGGACTCTGTTCTCTGAGTCGGTGCAGGACTTCTTCAGGACGCTGGTGATGGATACGATGCAGAACAGGGAGCTACACCAGATCGTTCGTCCTGACATGATACATCTTCTCATGGAAGCTAAGAAAGGTAATTATTTCCTTAGCTGTTTCAAGTGGTTCAGCTTAATAGTCCCGCGGTCATGTTTTTCACACTAAGTGAAACGGACCGACCGAATTCCGAGCACGACACTACGATCCCAAACTCAAATTGCTGATGTAGCCCAAAAAGCTGCGAAGCTGAAATGGAGTTGGGCTGGCCATGTCTGCCGTATGCCTGAAGACCTGTTAGGCTAGGTTACCATCTAGAGGAGCCGCGGCAGACCGAGGAAGCGTTGGCGCAACAAACTGCACGCTTACGGCAAAGCTTGGATCCAGTTGTGAGGAGGCGGAGGGGAAGGACGCAGCTCTTCCCAGGTGCTGGGGGATTCCGGTCCGTAAAGTCGTTCCCAGATCCCTCCCATTAGAGCACCAGAGAAGGCCACAGTGGTGTTATAGCTGGTAGAAGTACCATAACCTCACCGGTACCCCCGTGGCGTAGATGCCTTTACGAGGATTTCCCCTAGAAAAAAAAGGATCGGGATGCTTGGAGGGATCAGGGGGAGGCCTTTGTCCAGCAGTAGGATACATCAGGTTAATTGTAATTGTAATAATGTTTTTATTACCATGATGTTCATATTTCTTGTGAAAGTACTCCACTAGTTTGGTGTTATTATTTTGTAAAATAAATCAATAGACAATATGACGTACGCTGGCTCTGATCACAAAGTAACGTTTTTATAAATTAGTTTTCTATATTGAACCGGCCAGGAATCTAACTAGGGATCTCAGAGATGGCGACACTATGAAAATCGGTGTGCAAGCCGCTCGACCACGGAGGATGTAAAATTATTAATACAAAGATTGAACAAACACAAAGAAAAATTCTATCGATCCGGCTGGATTCGAACCAGCGGCTGTTTGCAACTAAGCTACGAAACGAATCAGAAGACCTCACGATTTTTATTTAAACTGTCTTTCCCTTTGCCGTAGTGCCATATGCGAGAAACACCACAAAACCGACACATATTTTTCCCACTTGATTATTTTGTTTTTACTAGGCTTGTTAATTTACAAAAATGATTTTTATGTAATTATATAGATTTTTATAATAGAATAAATATGCAGTTAAGTATTACCACCATGAATGAATGTCATTCGTCTTGTATGCAATAATAGAAAAGGAAATGGAACCTGGGCAGGTCAGGTGTAGGTGCACAGGGTCTACAACATAGCAAGATTACTAAATGATTACTTATTTATCGTAGCATTGTAAGTGGTACGCTTCAAGCTGCGACTAGGGCTTCGTCACTTGCTCGAGGTTACGCGATAAATGTCTGCCGCTAAGTTTATCGCCGAAAGTGCAAGCGCTCGGACAAGTCTTTGATTTACACTACAATCCTTATACAACTCCAGCATTCAACAACAACAACACAGCGGGCAACGTTATTTTCACCTCTCTGATCGCGTGCTTAGGTTCCTTTTGCCTCGTAGTGAGCGCCTGGTTTCATTAGTCAGATTTAGTAGGCTATTATAGCGTATCCATTTTCGATTCTAAATAATAATAATAATAATGAAATTATAATAATAACGCACACACTCAACATAGCCCCGCACTAGGGAGACCCTGAGTCGGGTGCCATGAACACTCACATAGACAACCACAAATTACACCCAAACTTACGAGAGAAATAAATGTAAGCCATACAAATATTTCTCCCGGCCCGGGAATCGAACCTGGGATCTATGCATGGCAGTCTTAGTAACCGTTGTATGAGAGCGATGTATCTGTTAAGTAATACCTATTAAGTAATCTGTGCTGCGACATAAATACCTAAGTCAATTCTAAGTTGTTAATAAACAGCTGTCTAGTGACAGCTGGCTAGTGCAAGTTCAGTTGATTTTATTTGTCATTCGCTATGGGAAGTTAGAAACAATAACTTTGTAATTAATTTAGTTGTGGCTGTATAGAAGTTGGAAGTAACAAAGTACAGTTTCTCTACCTGGGGCCATACCATGAACTCTTATTACAGTGCAGTATAGGTTCGTAACGACAAAAAAGCGGGATGGTGATATACACTTCGCTGTCTCACAAAGATTTATTTTAAGTCCTAAATTGAATCGTAATAAGAGTTCATGGTAAGGCCCCTGGTCTTAAAAAAGACATCTTGAAGGTATATTGTCTATATATACGCGTCCATATGTAAGTTCTATTTGTACATTTTTTTTTCTCTAAAATTTACAGGTAAACTGACCTACGACGAGAAATCAAGCCACGACAAGGACACCGGCTTCGCCACCGTCGAAGAATCGTCCGTTGGCCAGAAGCAAATTAACAGGGGTATGTCAAGGCAAGGCTAATTTAGACAGCAGTAAAAGAAGAGATCGTCAGAACAATTATTTGTAAAATTATCTTTCTCCTAATCACGGAAGCCTGCAAATACATAGTTTTATGATAGGGTGGTTTCATTATTTCATTATCATCAATCAATTTATAAGTCCCACTGCAGGGCACAGGTTTCTTCTCAGGCGAGGATTTAGACCATAGTCTGCCACGCTGGTTCTATGCAGGTTGGAGACTTCTCACGTTTTCCGAGATTTGTGAACCTTCTTCGACGTGCAGTTTACCTTCACCTACCCACCTTCGCGCACTTGTCAACGTCGTATCTGTGTCAAATTTTCTCCTCATGTTCCTATTTTATTCATATTAATTTTAAGCGTGCAGATAGCGGGATGCGAGAGGCGGCCTGTCACACCTCACCTCTTAAAATTTAGGCTAACTTTGAAATGCCTCGCCTTAAGTCGCGCGCATCGAGAATATAACCAGAAATAGAGACGAAATGTCATTTAATTTGTTTGAAAACTATTCTGCCATATCATTCACTACGGTGACAACTGTTGTTTGAAAACTATTCTGCCATATCATTATGGTGACAACTACGCTCCGACTGGCCAGCCCATATTCGAAACAATTGACGGGTGTCGTCAATTGTTTCAATTCAAAACGATCAGTTTCACTTGATCTTTGCTATAACGGACGAAAATTGCAAAATTACATATTTAATATTTAATTACTGATGAAATATGATTTTGTACCGTTTGTTTTGTAATTAGATGTTTTGCTGTTTTTCTCACACCACCCAATGTAACAGCCCCCATTGTTAGAGATTATTAATCTTTATTACAATAAATGCAGAATATTTTTTATACAGGTCAGTTATTGGCGCTGTACTACTTCAGTTTTCTAATTCGTAATTTCAGCCCAAACGAGAGTTGATATTTAAAAGTGATATATGGCCCATTTGCCTGATAAGTTGCCAGGGATGGATGGCCCTTATTTCGTCTCTATTTCTGGTTACACACTCGATGGTCGCACGTGTGAGTAAAGGCAGACGATTAGCTACTACATTGCGACCAAATCGCTGCAGACGCGCTGCTAAATGTCGCCGTGTGTAAGTGCTATTAAACTCAAGGAAACTACGGCGAAGGAAAATACCACTAGCCATAGTTCAGAAGTTCAGATGTATGACGAAAATTAGGTAATTTAAAGAGATGTTTTCGGTGTTTGTCATTCTTCTCACGAATCAGCTTTGCTTATGAGTTGTGATATAAATATGACGATTTCAAGTGCAATTTATCTATCAAATATTTAATATGAATTTGATTTGATTCAAAACTTTTATTAACACTAGAATGTTCTCTACAGTATGGACCGACGATGATCTCACCGCCCAAGCCATCCTGTTCTTCATAGCTGGCTTCGAGACCGTATCCTCTGCTATGACGTTCCTGCTATATGAGCTTTCTGTCAACCCTGAAATCCAAGAGAAACTGTACCAGGAAATCAGAGAGAATGAGGCCAAGAACAACGGGAAATTTGACTATAATTCTATACAGAATATGGTATATATGGACATGGTGGTGTCAGGTAAGGGCGTGATAAAAAAACTTTCTTTCATACTCGTTGCAAAAACATTACGATCAGGCAGTCTTCCAACATAGTCAGCAATTTTTAAGTTTTTATTGAATGCCATGCAATGTTTGACGACCATGGTATTCAATTCTTTTGCGAAATTACTCCACTATAATAGTTTGTTATATTTATTAATACGAAGATCGAACGCTTAGAAAAAAAGTCCTTCGATATGGCTGGATTCGTACAAATCTTCTTCCAGCAAACCGTGTCAGACGCTATGCCAACTAAGCTACAGAACGAAATAGCTAACAACTGTTTGTGCAACAATCTTCTTCGATCTTTGTTTTTGGTTTTTAACGAACTTTTGCTGGAAGACGTTGGTTTCAATCCAGCCGGATCGACAAAGGACTAATTAGAAATAGTAGTTAGAAAGAGTGTAAATTTCTAAGAGATATAGATAAAATGTTATTGTTTGAAACAGGATGTTGTGAAGTTTCAGCCTAATTAGAAATAACAATGTGTAAACATTAAACAGAACTTTTCGTATTTCAGAATCGTTGAGGTTATGGCCGCCCGCCATTGCTACTGACCGATACTGTACCAAAGACTACAATTTGGGCAAACATAATGACAAAGCTACTGAGGACTATATTGTAAGTGATCAAATGCAAACTATCCCTATATATATATTAACTGAAATCGTTAGCATGTTATGCTCTGCTCTGCTTACAAAGGTAGATGCCCCTGAAAATAACAAGCAAGAAATTACAGTGCCTACACATTTGCTACCATAAAATAATTTGTGGTTCTTAAAGTAATACTATTTTGTCTACACACATATCATAAACCCTCTATGATGTGTTCAAAAACCGCAAATTACGACCAGCATAAAGATAAACTGTTTTCTTAGAACAAATTTCTTATCTGTGAAAATGTTATTAATGCTTCTTAATAACATCAAATTCGATTTTATTAATACATTCAAATTTAGAACATCTCTGAAAAACAAAACAATTTGATCCGACCTCAATTCTAATATCAGTCGAGATGAAGTTTTATTCCAAATGAAATGTCAATAAGTAAATAATTTTGACAAATCTCACACGTTACTTGGTATCGTACGATATGACAGTTGGGGTCGATTCTAGTTTATCTATGAATTAAAAAAAAAAACAAGGTTGCGTGACATGCGTGAGAAATTAGTTTTTGTATTATTTTACTAATAATTACTGCTAATAGCTTTGATCAATGCCCCAATGCCGGTCGTAATATGCGGTTCCTGAACACATCACAGAGAGCTTATAATATGTGTATAGATAAAGCAGTGTATGTCACTGTACGTAATTAATTAGGCATTAAAACACTCGTGTGATGTTTTTTAATGGCTTTCATTATGTAACATAAACTACTATTTCTGGTCGTCTTTAATTGAAGGTTGTCCATAGCCAAATTCCAGCGTGTACTCGATATAACAAATCGCTTTGAGTTTTTGATAGAAATGTTTCTGGAAATAATTGCGACTGTGTTTTTTTAATGAAACATTGAAAATGGAACCATTGCTGAGGTATTCTTTCCAACAAAAAAAGAATCATTAAAATCGGTTCCCGAATGCCGGAGAGCCTTCTCCTTTTTTTGAAGTCGTAAGATTGGACAACGTGTGAGTGATAATTTTGTGAGTTGAGTTTTTTGAGTCGCTTAATTTACGTTGAGTTCAGTTTCATATAAAAGACCAGATTGTGTCACGCGACGACGCAAAACGATTTGACTGCCGACTCACGCGCGTAATTACGAACGAACTTCGGACGCACTGTGTGAAGCACTGATTTATATACTTCATAAACTGGATCGCTCACTTCGATATACCAATATTACAAATTTACATCTTGTATGGGGTTATGTTAAAGTTTGTTTTAAGTAAAATTAAAAAAACCGAGTCACGTGAGATAGCTCGAAGTAGTGGTCTGTCCTTATGTAATAAGTTGCCAACGCTAAATAAAATATTCTTAGGTAGTGTCTAGTCTATTAACATTTTTAAATTTTTGATATATTTGCGTAAAGGTAATATGCTTGTACTGCAATAATACAAAAAAAAATTACATCAACAATGAAACCTTCTACTATGAAGTAGCATATAAAATAAGTATACTAACCTCTAATATGAAATAATATTATTAGTTTTGATCTTCCCTAAGCGGCCACATTTTCGGTAAAAACTAAAAAGTTAACAACAATATGGCTGGCTGAAAGATAAATGAACACCCTATTAGAAAGAGATGAATTACTACTTTGAAGCCTCTCATTCGGCTCGTTTTAATAACTTATTGCGCGGTCCAGTTTAAGATACAAGTCCGTGGTGTGACGTGCTTGCGCGGGTGGAGAGAGTTTTGAGAGACAAATTGATTTAGATGTGAACATAAACTTTCATATGGTATATGAAACTAAGCGCATTTTAATCATTCCATATTAATAACTGCCTCCGTGGCCGAACGGTTACCATACCGTACTGCCACGCAGAGGTCCCAGGTTCGATTCCCGGGTCGGGAGAAATATTTGTATGGCCTACAATTATTTCTCTCGTGAGTTTGGGTGTAATTTGTGGTTGTCTATGTGTGTGTCCATGGCACTCGCGACACAGGGTTTCCTAGTGCGGGGCTATGTTGAGTGTGTGCGTTATCAAAAAAAAAAAAAAAATATTGACTGGATGTACCCATGTTCATTTTCTCTTTCGAACATCATTTAACGCATCATAAATACATGCCATTTTTATTGGATCCATTACACTATATGATATAAACACCACTTACAAACGCTTAAAAAGAAGTGAAGAAAATATATTTGCCTGGCTACTTAAACAAATTTCTGTCGAACGTAAACTATGAGACTCAGAAAACTTGCCTCACAACTCACAAAATTACGCTCGTCTGATCTCACCCTAATTCACGCTTGTGTAGCTGTTATGCTGGTGTTATTATAAATGTATCTCTGAAATCAAACTGTCCCTTATTCCGTAGCGCAAAACAAAACAAATGCAAAAATAGGATTTAAGTATGACAATGTACAGTTTCGAAGTCAGAAATTACAAGGGAAGTAAATTAGTGCGGGCAGTCACCGCGCTGCTTACTTTTATTTACTTTTGAACGTTCCCCCGTTTTATCGAGGTGTAAATTTTTTTGAAATCTAATTTTCCATCATGATTTTATCCATATAGATGCGAAAAGGCGATGGTATCCAGATCCCCGTGTGCGCAATCCATCGTGACCCTGAGTACTACCCAAACCCACATAATTTTGACCCTGAGAGGTTCTCTGAAGAGAACAAACACAAGATCCAACCCTTCACCTACTTACCGTTTGGAATTGGACCCAGGAATTGTATTGGTGAGAATTCTTTCTTATCTTTCGTATGTAGATGTACGGTACGATTATTTCTCTCAGGACTTCAGGCTTCCAGTTTCATTTAGACTCGTAGTTGTGTAATTTTGTCACCTCGCTCCGGTGTATAATTAGGCCATCCACATGCAATATCCGAGTACAGTTACGCACTGCTACATAGCTCGAGTAGCCTCTATCGATTCCTTGGAGAGTGCGACCAACCTTGCTAAGAGTGCGATTAGGTTATACATAATGTAAAAAGTATGATCATCGGTGATCGTTCGCTTAATACGATTTCAGCTTCAATTGCTATCAATTGAAGCTGAAATCGTTATTCGTTATGCAAGGATGCAAATTTCCTGTTTAATACGAGTGCTTTCAATTTCAAACTGAGCAAGCGAAGGATTCTAAGATTGATTCAAAAATAGAATCCAGAGCGTAGCGAGGGTTTCATGGCACGAGACGCAAAACAACTTTGCTGCCGAGCAAAATACACAACTTATCAACTCATTATAGTGAGGAAAATTGTAGATGAAAGGAAAACATTTGAACTATAACAAATAAACAAAATTAGTCATTGTTGTCAATTTAATGTCAACAACAACGAGTATATAACCAGAAATAGAGACGAAATGTGATTTATTTTGTTTGAAAACTATTCTGCCATATCATTACTGTGACAACTGCGCTCCGATTGGCCAGCCCGAATTCGAAACAATTGACGGGTGTGGTCAATGGGTGTCGTCAACTGTTTCACTTCAATTCGACCAGTTAACTTGAGCTTTACTATAATGGACGAAAATTGCAAAATTATATATTTAATTACCGATGAAATGTTTCCGTTTGTTTTGTAATTACATGTTTTGCTGTTTTTCCCACACCACCGAATAGAACAGCACGGCATTGTTAGAGATATTATCTTTATTACAATAAATACAGAATATTTTTTGGAATATGCGGAGACGTACACACAGGTCAGTAGTTGGCCTGTCTATATTTCAGTACAAACGACAGTTTATATTTATAAGAGCTGTATCGCTAATATGTTACCAGGAATATATGGCCCTTATTTCGTCTGTATTTCTGGTTATATACTCGATGGTCAACAATAATGAGAATAAAATATACCAACGGATTTATATTCCATAAGTAATGTACGGACAACGGCACATCAGACTACACATTTTTGTTCGAAAATCGCCTCCAGTGCAACGGAACAAGATACGTCAATGTGTAGCTTGATATGCTGGCATGAGTACTACAAAAGGCGTCGTTGAACGTGTCAAAATGTTTTTTCTTCATCTAAAGAAGAATCTAACTTTTTCTTTCGATGAGGTGCACCACAGTCTTTCGTCAAGTTCGAATTTCAAAAACCTTTTCCACGCTAGGTTGGCAAAAACGCTTTTGAGCGCAGATTTCTAATGATAAAGAAAGACTTTCCGAGCTAGTGAGGTGAGAAATAAATTTTAATTTGCAAAATTATTGTTCGTTTGAAAAAACCAATACCGTGATGTTCTGCGCAAAAATGTGCACCGTTTTGTTACACCTGTAGAACCTGTGCACGGATTTTTCCATTGTTTGCAAAGATTTCTAACTACTTCATACAAGTTTCCTTCTTTTCCAATGTACCGAGCTGATCTAATGTTTTTATAAACTTTCTCCGACATGCAGGTTTCGAAAAAGACAAGTATGGTAACTCCATACAATAATAGCACCGCACGTAGCAAAAAATTAAATTGTTGAGCTTAATTAAATAACTTACAACTTTAAATTATAAACGCCCACCTTTAATTATTATGCGAATAGCCCCCACAGTCACTCTATCGCGCGTGTCAGGAACACACAGGATTACGCGCGGGCAAGCCAAAAGCATTATGATAATGGGTGAAAACTGTAAACTGTCATTGAAAATATATCAAATGAAAAGTTACTCAATGGTATACTTTTTTATTTGTTAGTTTCCAATAAATTGCATAGATGGCATTTCTTTGAATTTATTCTAGGAACTAAGTAAGGTTTTAGGACTGATTTTTACTTTAAAAGAAGTGACTCAGTTTCTTCCCGATTTTATTATATGTTATTGTATATATAATCAACGCCTGAACAAGACGAATAACCTTGACAAAAATGTAGTAGCTGCCGTCTGTTGATCTTTTTAACCGACTTCAAAAAAGGAGGAGGTTCTCAATTCGACTGTATGTTTTTTTTATGTATGTTACGCGATAACTCCGGTATTTGTGAACCGATTTTCATGATTCTTTTTTTGTTGGAAAGGGGGTACTTCCATAATGGTCCCATTTCATTTAGAAGGAAATCATCTATCTCTAAGGGTGGCTGTTCAGGCATGAATTTTGAAATATGATGTGTATGTTGGTAGGTTTTGAATTGTACATGGTATATGAATATAGTAATAATTGGTTTAGATTAGTGTAGAGTAGTAAATATTTAAATATTTGTTGTTGTGTGACTTAAATAGAAACTAAATAGTAATTAGACATATACATACATATAATCAAGAATTATAATTAATTAGAAATATTGTAAAAGCGTGAGACCTTCTCAACTATTGTCATGCCCTTACAGGGTTGTCATACTTGTATCATGTGTGATAATAATTAAATAAATAAAAAATAAATAAATTTTTATAAATAGCGCCTAAATTTTCTTAAGGAGTAATTATTTTAATGGTTGATTTTGCTATTTCTCCAATTCAAGGCGTTTTTCTCGCAATATTTTTTGAGTAGTGAGAACCGATTTATGTTACGTGATAAGTAATGCCACGTTATCAGCGTTAAGAATCAAAATAAACGTCTGAATAAGCAAAGTTGCAAGTGCGACATTTCTTTGTATGAGATTGGGTACGGTGTTCTACGGTACATCTTCAGGTACAAAATAACTTTCCTTATTTTACAGGTTCAAGATTCGCCCTTAGCGAAGTGAAAGTAATGGTATATCAGCTCCTAAATTCCTTCGAAGTGTCGCCATCGGAAAGAACGACTATACCTCCCAAGTTGGATCCGTCTACGTTCAATGTTCGCATGAAGGGAGGTCACTGGAATCGTCTTAAAGTTCGGAAAGTGTGATTGCGTTTTGCCTATTATTCTGCATTGCTAAATAAATACCCTCCGTACTACCAACAAAAACATCTCAAATAAAATGCAGTAATACACCGCAAATCCTGCACTTATAAAGCACTAATGAAATTTTTGGTGTACTTGGATAAATATGATAATATTCCGTTTGAGTGGTTCTAACGTTTACCATGAAATTACTCCTTAAAGTATAGTATATAAACATTTATATTCAGGGTAAACTTGAAAAACGCTACTTACGGTATGTTTTCAATAAATAAACACCCTAATCACCAGCCCAAACAATAACACACACGATTGTCGTGACGTATTTTTGAAGTTGTTTATTTTTTTTTAAATGACAGACCCAGGCATTAAAATCTTTATGGTTTGCTAGAGTAGTTACCGAAATAGCAATTAATATTAGTTTTTTTACCTGTTATAACTTCGATATCCGATAAATCGGTGTAAAGTTATCACCGGCACCTCTAGGTATGGTATGCGTCTACGGCTGCATGTATCGCGTGAGCGGATAAATCGGAAATCCATATTTTAAATTAACAGCCATTGTCACGTTTTCTGTAATTTCGATTTTGTACTTAAAAGCTGTGAAAAAAAACTGACCTCAAATATAAACTTGATTTGACCTAGTTATATTTTAGTTACATATGTTTAGATAAACTGGTCATACTCTCGTACCTCCAAAATAATACCTTTATATAATGCGGTGCATACTTTTAATTGAAATGCATGCATAGTACTTGTTTTAAATGGTTTGTTTTTATATTTAACGTATGCATTTAGTTGGTAAGCCTTATTAAATAAATAGATAAATAAATCTTTGTGACCCATATTACAGATCCAATCTAGTTTAGACATCAGTCTTCCGCCTCACAATTTAACTGTACGACGATCCTTAGATTAATTACGTTGTAAAATCTTTTATTAAGGTGGACAAGAACAATAAATTATTTGTATAATTGTGTTTGTATATGAAATTATAAGTATAATAATAACGCACAAACTTACATAGCCCCGCGCTAAGGAAAATCATGTATAGCGTGTGCCATGGATATACACATACACAGATAACCACAAATCACATCCAAACTCAAGAGAGAAATAAATGCAGGCCATGAAAGTATTTCTCTCGGCCCGGGTATCGAACCCGGGACCTCTGCGTGGCAGACCAGCAAATTGTCCAAGTAATTTTATTAACACACGCGTTGTTAACGTGTTACTTTTCTTCCTATTGGTAAGTTTATCATATTTTTGTATATACTCCTATGTTTTATATTGTACTATATGTTATACACTTCCGGACATATAATTCGAACCGCCACGCATTTTCAGTATTAAGTGCCCTAAGCTTAAACAATGTTTGATTGATCAAAAACTCGAGTTCTTAGGTTTTCACGATTGTGACACATTGGAAATGAAACTAATTTTCCGGATTTAAATCGCGTACATTTGTTTTTTCAAACCGTGTCCATGGGACCTGTAAAGGGCCCGAAACGTCGGTTTGTTTGAAAAAACAAATATACGCGATATAAATCCGGAAATATAGTTTCATTTCCTATGATCAAAAACTATTAAGCAATTTTGAAACTAGTATACTAAACGTCTTTTCCGTAAGTCCTTGTTGGGAATTTGGATTTGCAGAACCGGGGCAAAACTTTTTCTTCGATGATAACACTATTTTTGTAGAGCCCTTTACGACAAAAATGCGAGGTGGCCCGAATTATGTGTCCGGGAGTATATTATATTTAAAAGTGTGAATAACTACATCTACTAATAAAAAATAAAATGTAATAACAAATAAAATGGAATTTACAATAATCCTTTTATAATCCCCTCACCCGTATGTGCCGTGAGTACAATGACCTCGCTGCTGTCCATTACGAGATTGACATCTTCAGAGTCGCTGTTACGCCTTTCGATACGCTATTTACGAAAGGGTTGGGTGATGTTGTCCTGGTTGTTGCTGTTTCTCATGTCAATATTTAACAGTGTTATTTATTCGCACTTAACTGACGTAAAATTTATATTATTGGTATGTGCATTACTAAGATTAACGCTTGGATTTTAGTTATTGTTTCGAAGATTTTAAATATTATTCACTAGATGTTAACATTTGTTTATAAAATTAATACTAATTTTGTATACATATCTGTGGACTTCTACTGTCTGAATTGCCCATGTAACAATATAGTGAAATTAATGACTTTACTCTGTATACTTGTATAAATAAATAAATAATGACTCGACATTTACTATTAATGAAATGTGAAACCATACAATGGAAAAATTTCTATATTTTTGTATAATTTTTAAGTTAACGATTACGGTACACCATCTCTGGTACCCTATAATTTATATTATACAAGAATCTACTGTGCGTTACAAAAAGTACATTCGACCAAAATGTTATATGAAATAGATATTTTAATCAAAAACTCTAAATTAAATAAAATGTTTTATTATATAACAGTGTTTTAATAATTTACTACTAGGGAGACATTACTGCTTGGAGGCAGAAAGAGGTAAGGTGGCAGTACTTCCCTGGACGAACTCTTTCACAAGGAGCTCTACTGCAACTAAAGCAAATCGTATACGTAAATCGATTCAACATTAAGGCAAATCGAATAGTCTAGATCATATTCATAATTTAAACAAACTAGTTTCTTTCTGAACCTCTATTTTTTATTAATTGCAAGAAAAGCAGTTTGGCGGGATCCAAGTACAATAAGTACTACAATAATTGGCGATTCTCGATCCTTCTGTGCCATTTGAATGTCTTTTCTCACTGTCTAATATCACTGTAAATTAAAGTAACCAAGGCCAAAAAGGCTGTCAAAATTATTTTCTTTATCGAAATTAATTCTGAAATTTTTATGAGATCGATTCAAGAGCACACGATCCGATCTGTGGATCGATTCAAAGGCATATGATCTATTACGATCCAAAAAGTCGTTTCTAAGCAAAAAATCGTTCATCCCTATTTTGCGTAGCATGGTTAGAGATTTGAAGTTTCTGGAGATGTAGTGATATAAAATCGAATGAAAAAAGTCGATTTAAATGTCTTATCGAGATAATTTATAAGGAAGAGGGAATCAATTTAGAGATTATAGTTTAATAACAAATAATAAACAGAACAAAAAGGATTCAAATATTATGTTACAATGTTACAAAAAAACTACACAACAAATTAAAAATTCACCAATGACCAAACAAAAAGTCAACAACAAAGCATAAAATCAACAGCAACGAAACGAAATTTGAACAGTGACTCCAAAAACATCTCGCAAAACTCAAAACAAAAGATAGATACCCATATATAATGAGTCATTGTACTTAATACAGTTTGCGCATGTAATTAACGCGAGATACATAATAAGGGTATTTTTCCAAACCCGCAATTTTCTGTGTCCATGCACTAATCTCAACTCATTTGTCAAAACAAAAATGTACAAAAAGTAGAGTAACGTAGAAAATAACGAAGAGGTTTCGTAAAACAAACACAATTTGATTGAAACTATTACTTCTGTTTGACATATATATTTTTTGTAAAACTGAATCTCGCAAAGATTCATATTTGTACGATGATTTTATTTCAAGTTGCATTCCAAAGATGTTAGGAACATCGATACAATTGTATAAGTTTTAAATTACTTTCGGTACTCAGTTTTGGCATGTTAATTGTCTTAGACTCGCGGGAAAACAAAAAGTGTCGTCATTGATTGATTTTTGATTTTGAAATTTCTTTATTAACAAAAACAAGTTACACGTAATATCTTACAATTAAGATTCGATCTTATATCTATTGTTGTTTTTTGACCAAAAGTGAACATTAGTTCGATGTTATGCAGCGGTTAGAACAGGCCGGACGAACTGTCGTCACTGCACACTAGCCGATCGGATACTAACTTCGCCAGTCAGATGAAGCTAGTACACAAGCCAGGATAGTAAAATCAGTGGTGGGGGCTCTACTAGCGCAAGAAAAGGACCCAATCCTATTAGACTATCCGGGATTGAGACACTAGCTTACTATCTTCCTCACTAGCTTACTAGCCTAGAAATAGAGCTAGTTGTGTATAGTCTAGCCTCATGTATCCTGGGCATTATTCATTGTAGCGGTTCTCGCGGCTGTAGCAAATTTAGTAATAACCCGGCACCCACAACGACGGACTGTGGCGAGACGTCAATCGCGTGACGCTTTATTATTGTGTTATGAAACATATTTTTTTATAGCTGTTGAATTAAAATTAACAAGGTAAATATTTTTGATTTTATATGTTTACGACTATATTGTATTTAATTTAAGATTGTCTTTTGATAGTCCTACTCTCATGGCACAATATTAATGTAGTACTCTCAGCGGAGTTAAGTCGCTTTAAACGTGAATTTAAGACAAGTGTTAGATTCAAAGACATAGAAAAAAAGGGGAGATATGGTATGGGGGCGTGGTTCGCGTTGCCTCGATAATTTTTCTCAAAAGTTGCTCCACAAATTATCTTCGTTTATACAATGAATCACGTACAACAAATATATTTAAGATATAACGAAAAACACATATTGCATTATTTAAAAAAAATGTCATACTTTCTTTTTAAATAATGTTATAATTAATAATAATGTGTTGTTGCTTTTGCATACAACCTTGAGTCTGGTAGAATATGCCTGAATAAAGAACAAGCTAGAACTCTTTGCAAATGAAACCGCCCCCATTTTTTCGAAAACTTTAAATGCAAACAGTCATGTTATAGGGCTCGCGAACTGGCTCATGTATGTCATATTTTTTGTTTTAAACTTTGGAGCTTAAAAAGCTGGAGTAAGCAATTCATAATGTTGGAACTAAATTGAACCTTTACTTGCAAATCCAAAAAGAAAATTACGATTTTCAAGCATTAGACTTTGTAGCAATGTTTGTGTGCAATTTTAATTTTTTTTGTTGATCTTATTGTTTTGTATCGAGTTCTTAGGTTTTCGCGATTGTTACACATAGGAAATGAAACTATTTTTCCGGATTTAAATCGCGTATATTTGTTTTTTCAAACAAACCGACGTTTCGGGCCCTTTACACTAACTTCATTGAATGTGTAGGTTTATCCATGACATGCTCGCAGACTGCAGACCGTCGCGTAAACAAGTCCAGTTTGACAAACCCCAGGTCCCTGCAAAAGAAGTCCGTTATCTGCCCAGGATGTTGCGAGAAGCCATTGAAATTAAAAAACATCCTAATTTCAACAGGGAAGATGGTTTCTCCGTACCACCAGTTTGGGATCCAGTATTTCCTCTAATGAAAAATCCCAAACAGACATAGACTGCAGTACTAATTAATATGTTTTAGTTTATTCTAATTTCTATTAATAATTAATAATAAATTAAACTTAATAAAAATTCATTCAATAAAATAATTTGAAAAACTTAACGTAGCGTAAATTGGAATGTTTTCTTTGTAAAATTAAAAATAAGGTTTTTAATTAATAACTATTGTAACTATAGTGAAAAAATAGGGTGGTTTGCATTAATATTAGACATAACTGGTTGAAGACTGTACCACCTCAGTCAACCGTCACCATGGGACCTGTAAAGGGCCCGAAACGTCGGTTTGTTTGAAAACACAAATATACGCGATTTCAATCCGGAAAAATAGTTTCATTTCTTATTGTTTTGGACAAATTGTACAATTAGGCCATTATCTCAAATAAAATGGTATCTCATTCCGATAGATTAATGTACCGTTTAGTGAAATAGATATGTTTTTTCTTATAAATTTGTACCAGAAATATTAGATATTTATTTAGATGTTAGATATGCATTGCGATAAAATGTTATGCATTAATTTTAGTACGTACATAATGCTAAATAAATTTTCTTTTCGTGTAAATATTTTGATGTGCAATCAGTACTTCTGTTGGGGATGCGGCATATTTGGTTGTGAAAAAACTTGCTTTTTTGGCGAGCAGTTAAGTACTACCCATAAATAAATAAATAGTATCTAAATAAATGTTACGTAATATAGAATTAAAAATCAACTAATCCATTTTCTGTAACATTACGAGAAGTACAATTGGGTAGTGCTAAACGAGCGAATGTAAACTCATTGAATTGCGACACATTATTGTTTCTTAAACTTATTATCTATGTTTTTTAACTAAGTAGTAATTTATTTTCTAGAAATATAAAAGTAACTTTGAGAATTCTCACAGATGCTGGTCTGGATATGGTTGGGTTGTCTCGTGGCCGCAGTGCTTTTGTACTTCCGGCAAGTGTACAGCTTCTTTAAAAGGCGGGGTGTGAAAACACCAGGGATCATCCCACCTTTTGGTACTATGCTGAGCGTTTTGGTGAAACGAGAGCATTTTGCTGAACAAATCACCAGGTTTTACAACCAATTTCCTGATCAGAAGTAAGTGTTTTTAATGAGAATTAATTACTTCGTTATGTTATTTTAAAGTATTTGTAATAATAATAACGCACACACTCATACCCTCACACTACAGAAATCCTTTATCGCGTGTGCTATGAATACACACACACATGGCTTACGACAAATTACATGAAAATTCACGAGATAATGAAATAATTATTGACCATATAAATATTTCTCCTGCCACGGAAATCGAACTCGGGACCTCTGCGTCCGAGATTATGTTTGCCGTTATGATAACATTTGTTACTCTGCTAAAACCTAGTCGCAGTGGCAGTTGAGTCTCAATAGAGTGTAAGTGGAATAGCGGTAATGGCATTAATTCATTCAATCACTAGCGGTCGATGTTGCCTTACGAATACTATCAAGGACATTACTGCGCATATCTTAATACACACAACATGTGATGCTATTTGTGTATACTTGTGACCTTTTCAAGGCTTTTGATTGTGTGCACCATGATACTTTGGTCAGGAAACTGAGCTATTATGGTGTGGCAGGCCGTGACCTGAACCTTTTTAAATCCTATTTGGGTGGAAGGGTACAGAAGGTCCATGTTAACGGTACGAGATCATCAGGGTCTGCAATTAGCATGAGCGTACTTCAAGGTTCAATTCTAGGTCCTTTTTTGTTTTTAGTTTATATTAATGACTTACCTAGACTCGTGGAGGGTATAAAACATGAAATGTTATTGTTTACTGATGATACTTCGTTATTATTTAAAGTTAAAAGGCACCAATGCTCTTATGACGATGTTAATAATGCTATATATAACACCTTAATTTTTATCGCGTTTAATGAACAATTTAGTTTTCGGATTAAATATATGTAATATTATTAGACTACACCGTCGTCGGCGTGCCATCAACTTGCCATTGAAGAGTAGAATACTAAAACTTGCAACGACAGTTGAATAGTAGCTCGATGGCTAGCTACTGAAAAGCCACTTCTCTTAACTTTTAGCAGAATACCAAACATTGAAAATCCAACCGTTGGCACTCTCTCGACTCACAACTGAGATGATTTAAATTTAGGAGAATTGGGGTTCTGCATGGTAACCGCTCGACCGCGGAAATAGTTATTTCAAGTCTTTCACTTGTCTTTGTTATTGAGGCCACTGATAGCCGTTATGCTTTTGCTTCAATAGCCTTAGTAACAATAATAATAGCTAATGTCCAAGGCGCACGACTTGTTCGTTCTTTTACTTGTATTATAAAAAAAAAATTACCATAAGTGTAGTATAAGAATTGATTAATGTTATAAATCTTTTGACTGGGTTGTTTATAGTTCTTGGTGAGCTCCGTGGTGTTGCCAACGCCATCTCTAACCTCCCATGCTTGACCCCCAGTTGGGTCAATGTAGGAAAACTTTTTCTGCATTTAAATTTTCATTGAATTGATATCCAATTATTTTTATGTGAAATTACTCCACTAGTTTGTTATAATTATTAATACAAAGATCGAACACTCAGAAAAAAATCCTTCAATCAACAACGACAAGTGCTTTAGTTACGAACTTTGATGTATTAAAAAAAACAAAAAAGTTTTTAGTACACTATTCGTTATGATCTAATATACTTAGTGTAGAATTGAATTCATTACGCTAATTTTTGATAACACTTCTAGATCTATTGAGATAACCCGATAATGTTACCGTCATGTTTTAGTAACACAATGTGACAATTTTCATGATTAGTATTGTAAATTATCATAAAACACACTTATGATAAGGTTGATTACAGTCCAAAGGATAAATGCATAGTTCGCACAACTAGTGAACACGGTCCCCTCTAATTCAAATAACGAGAATGGAAGTTTTAAAATCGACATTACTCCCTGTTTTAAACAAAGTCCATTATTTAAATTTGAATGACCATCATGTTAGACTAATCTACCGCCTACGCCTACTAAAGTCCCGTAAAATGCAAGACTGTTGGTACAGTAAGCGGTACTTCAAAGTTTTAAAACACCCAGATGACCTCGTGACACACGCCTTTATAAAGTATTGACTCGTGTAGTGCGCAGTACACAGTTTATTTACTATTATCTTTTTATTCACACATGACATAATACCTTAACAGGTACTTATTTAGGCGGATGTTGAATATTGTACAGAACAGTAGTAATCTTGTTAATGGTTATCTATGATAAGTCTGAAATTACGTTCGCTCGAATTTTTATAATCTCGAAAATTATTTTCCTCGGAAAACTTTTTCAAGTAATATTTTAAAACAAACCTTAGGTTAGGAGAGATTCCAGACTCTGCTTTACGTACCCGTGGCCGCGGAGTCCCGTATTGGCGCGTTCGTTATGGTATGACTGTGGTCTCGGCCGGGATGGGAGTCAGAGCTATTCTTCTGCACTCGTTTGCAAGTTTCTGTCTGTCTTCCTCTCTTTCCTATCAAAATTTTCTTTCTTTCTGTCTATATTCTTTGTTTTCCCCCTGTCCTCTCTCCTCGGCGGCTGATATTAAATAGTCACGACACGGAAAGGGGACAAATTTAAAGAACCTATCATTAGTTATATACTAATAATGTCACTACTGTGTACAGTTTAACAAGAATAAAAAACCTTAAGTTAGGTTTCTTTCCTTTTAATAAGAATATTTATAATTTGTGTTGTCGCGACTCATTGAGAGAATTGTTTAAGGAAATTAAAATTGTATATTATATGTGTATTGACAGTAACTTACCAATATACTTACGCTAATGTAATGTAAGTACGAAAAAATATCCATTTATTCCCTGAAAACAACAAAATACATAATTTTAATTTAAGAAATAACCATAAACTGGCAATTTCACAATTTATATTGCATAAAGTGAACTCATCTTTCAAGGGAAACTGTGTACGCTTCGGAATTCGCGTGAACAAGTGTAGATGCATTCGGACATACGCGGCAGCTTCGTAAATATAAAGCGAAGGAACAATCAGTAATAAGTAGTTGAAGACCTTTAAAATAATAAATGTGTACCTAAATGCGTTCCGGGTTTTTCAACTGCAGTTTTTTCGACTGCAGGTCGACTTTTAAAGAGCCTTGAAAGATGGTTATTTCGAAAATCAAAAAAGAAAGCAAGAAAAAATACACATGATTTAGATTCAAAAATGTAATGAAAAATTCAATTTCGAAAACCTAACAACTCGATAGTCTGTAAGATGTCTCTTTCTCGGTTAAAGACTCTCATTGACCTTTATTCAGTGTCAAGACTGTTCATTCCGGCGTCCATGTGTTCAGACCGTCACTGCTTATTTCGAGGTCAACCTCATAATGTTTGTACCCGTTTCGCACCCACTGTGAGACAACACAGTGCCACACAGCGCCTCCGGTCTTTGCGGTTTAAAGCTTTGAGTGGCATTGCAACTGTTATGGACCGGCGTGTCGCTTATCACCAGACTCATGACTTATTTATCCTGTCACTTGATATTATAAAAAAGGCTTCCGCTTTCCTGGGTTGCGAGGTCAGTGTCACCAGTACTGTAAATTAGCAACTTAAAATTCCGCAACATAGCGTCGAGGATCTTGCCGGTCTTAGTCAGGAAATATTATTGGAAGGCTTGGTAAGGGATTTACTGCTCATAACGTTGAAATATGGTAATCTCTGATTGGACTTTAGCTGGCATATGTTTGCTATGCTTTAGGGTGTCAACCTAATTAGTGTCAGTAATGTCGCTGTAGAATTCAGGTTCGAAATCGAAAGTCCGACTTATGCATTTAATGTGATAGTAATAGACTCCGAGCTTCTTGTTGTCAGATTTGTTTACCAGCCATACAAATGCTATAATGTGTGCGCGCTTGCCCTCAAGTCCTTAAGTCTGCGGAATAGAACATAATTATACTCGTTTCGCGTATTTGTTGTTGACTACCTCTTAGTACTATTGTATCACTGAGCGTTTTTCCATTCAATCGCATTGCATTAGCCCTTGACGAACGTCTACAAATAATAACGTATATTGATCAATTTTAATGACGTGCGATAATGAGATGATAAAATGTATTCCAATTGTACAATAGTAATAGATAATATTTTGTACAAAATATTGTATTTTATAATATTTTATAAAAGCTTAGAAATATCAGAGCATTTGCCTTTGAACTTTTGCCTGTTTTGACAGTTCAGATTATTTTGGCACCGAGTGTTTCATAGGAAAACAAGATCACCTATATTTTCAATTCAAAATGCTACTTTTTCACAAATACATTTGAAGATATTTTAGATATGAAGAATAACTACAAATACACATATTAAATAAATAATTTATGATATAGTTTCTCACTAAAGCATTATAGGTATTATATTTTCTAATCATTACGTTCTAAGACTAAATTACTAAAAGCTCGATGTAATAAATAAAATAATGTGATTTCTTTGTTGAATTATTCTGATAGGTTCTACGGTACGTTCCAGTTCACGAAGCCATTTCTGCAAGTGAGAGATATCGAGTTGATCAAGAAGATTTGCATAAAAGAATTCGAGAGCTTCCTGGACCACAACACTGTCATCAGTGAAGATTACGACCCGCTTTTTGGGAGGAATCTATTTTCTTTAAAAGGTAGCTTTACTTGCTGTGTGCAATTGGGATTATCGTAAATATCTTCACTGATTATGGACTTCTACTAAAGTGGGAAAAGTTACATTTTCGTTTTCTCCTACACCAATATAATAACCATGTTCTGCAAAGTTTTGGAAGTCAGTGATCGCTTTAAAGCATAAATACCATTTCATTAATGCATCAACTATGTAAATCTCGCTGTCTTGTTTGTAGGAAGAGCCATATGTAGGAACACGTGCAGTAACTCTAATCCCGAAACACAGGTGGCGCCTACAAGCTCTCTTGCATAGCAAAGGCGTAATTTTTATGTCTTTTACTCATAAGAAGTCATCCCAAAGGGCGAATTAAGATTTGCCCTTTAGGATAGAGGAAAGAGAGGTGTAAGCACCTCTTTTCACGTGACAATGATATGTCCGAAGCTCTTGTTGGTGGTCTTTGTAGGCCGCTCCCTGTCTATTAAAATAAGCTTTAAGAATCAGAACAAAAGAGTTGAAACCTGTAGAGAAAACATTACACGACAGTGAATTTGGTAACATTATTCTATAGAATTCTTCTGTCTACATTTCTTGGGTCATTTCCGTAAAGTCGCTAGTGTAGGACGTCGAGCTGATCAAGTCGATTATTGTGAAGACGCAATGTCACTTCCGTGATCAATCATTGAAGAGAAGTACCGCCTCTTTTCTATAGAAATCTCTTTCAAGAGGACCTAAGTCTTCATTTTCTAATATAGCAATATGAATATCTCGCTTATTTTACGTTGCAATGTTACATTTCCGTATAAAGTAATGAACCGAGTGTAATCCGAAGGCATCTCATAAACTACTTTTTGGTGTCAAACAAGTACATACTTGTTGTTGCATATGCAAAAATACCATCTTCTATTTTACAATTCTTGGTCAACAGGTCAGGAATGGAAGGACATGCGATCGACCCTGAGCCCTGCTTTCACCAGTTCCAAAATGAAGATGATGTTGCCACTGATGGTGGAGGTTGGAGATCAAATGAACCTCTGTCTTCAGAAGAAAATCAAAGAGTCCAAACGTAAGGGTATCTTGGAAATTCATCACTAACTCGTAAAAATTATCTTTATCGTGCAGGTTTGGCTATCTTTATTTTACTACTGTGTGCAAATTATGTGAAGAAGCTGTTGTAATTTATTTCAGCTTTTCGTATACAGCTGTCGTCGGTTTAACATAATAATGTATGTTGAGTTGAAAACGGTTTATTAAAAATTATAGTTTCGAAAGTCTAACGGATTCAGTGACATGGACATTTAGAAATATTATTGAAACCTTTTGTAAAGTTTGCATTTTTATACATTATTTTGTTTATAGATGGTTATTTGGACGTTGATGTGAAAGACCTAACGACCAGATACACGAATGACGTCATTGCTTCTTGTGCGTTTGGCCTGAAGGTCGATTCTCACATGAAGGAGGGCAACCAATTTTACAAAATGGGAAAAACTGTTGCATACTTTAAGTTTCGTCAGATACTCATGTTTTTCTTACTGAGTTCTTTTCCGAAAGTGGCTGGAGTGAGTATCTTTAAAAATCTCCATCAATGTCTTTCAACGAAGTTTGTAATGTTTTCAGTACGAATCTAATTAAAATAAAAACTAAGGACACTAATATCCAATGGCACTAACTTAAGTACGTCTTAAACCAAAATAAATTGATAAGCCACTCACGAAACAATGTATTATGAGTATTCTTTGCAATGCAAGCATTGGTGCAAGTGGATATAACTGTGTTCAAAATTTTGTAATTGTTTAAAGATTTGCATTATCATAAAACGTTGGTTTTGTGTTATAATATTTTTAAGACGTATATTAAATACATAATGATATTTTAGGAAAAAAGTATTCTAGAGCTTTGACGAATTGTTGAATGAAAAAAAAATGTGTTATTGGAAAGTAAAAAAGAAATGACGGTCCGCAAGAAAGAGCCAGCAAAGTATTACAGTTACAGACCACATAAATACTAGATTACAGCCAAGGTCGTGTATACCAAACATGACATTCGGATATATCAAAATAAATCTATAGTGTCATTGTAATCTATTGGCGGTCATTCCACAATTTAGTTATTACTGTAGTTGTCTCTAATATACCTATGCACGAAGCAAAATTATTTCCAGTAAGACAATATTCTACATTTGGGTATCATCATTCAGCCATACGACGCCCACTGCTGGGCATAGGCCTCCCCCAACGATCTCCACGACGATCGGTCCTGCGCTGCCCGCATCCATCGGCTTCCCGCGACCTCGAATTTGGGTATATTGCCTATTTATTATAGGTAATCGTGAATTTGGAACGAATATTTTCTATGGAAATCATAATAAACCTCACCTATACTTATATGTACTATACCTATATTTTAGTTCACCTCAAAATAAAACTGTCGTATTTCGGATAGGAGGTTACGGAGCACCAGCGACCACCACCATATTGACATGAGACTTACGATCTTATGCCCCAAAACCCTGTAACGCATTTGCTGTGTTAAGTATACTTCCAGGTATATTTATGCACGCTTATTTGTAAAATACTAAAAACTACTGACATCATAAACAACTACTTTTGTTCCATGACTTTTAATAATTCATTAGATTTTTCTTTCATACAATAAATATTACATTAGTTTTCATTATAGTGACTCTCCCTCCCGACCCTTCGAGTATACGAGAAGGACATTTCAACATGTGCGCGCACAGGAACCTTATAAGTTCAGGTCCTAACCTCAGATCAGCCAATGTACAGGGTTGTCACAGACCTTTGTCACTTGACTTCATCCGGTTCTCGAGAGGCTAGTGTCTCGGGTGAGCAGCCTCGGGTGCACGTACAGTACCCTCCCTATTTTTCAGATAGGTACCGGAGCCGTAGGCACGCTCACTTACCGTTGTGTATTGCACAACTAGCGGTTGGCACCGCTAAGCCGTCGACTCTAAGTCCACTACCAAATCTCCTCATTGGTGGTGGAGATGTAAGGCACGCTCACTTCCCGACGCCGAAAAACGATGTCTCTCCTATCCGAATAACCTTAGCGGCTGGTGGAGGATATCTAGCTTATCCTCGACTTGTTCTCCGGGCTAGTGCCGGAGATGCCAGTCACAATGTCCTTCGACAATGTCAAAGTCAAAGTCAAGTGCTCGAAACGGATTCATCCCGTAGTTTGCTACCCTTAGAGGTGGAGCATTTTCTTCAAAGAAGCATGGCGGAAGCTGCCCCAATGACGACGAAGAACCGTTCATGTAGGTACTTTGCTAGTATAATTTTGCGTTTTAGTTTATGCCTAGTTGTCAATATATTTTTGTATATTTTTAGAAGTCGGGAATAAAAAATGGAAAACATTGTATTTTAGAATAGATGCAAGAACACAATGCAATTGATTCAGTTCGACATAGATTAAGTAACGTTCTTGTAGGTACGTTTCATTGTAAGCATGATTGAATGTTTACCTACCTGAAGTATTGGTTATTTTATAGTACACACATAAAACATGAAAGCTATGAAATACTTAATGAAATAATCAATTAAACAATAATGACATAAAGCAAAGAATAAAACACAATGTGACAAAAATATTTATAAAATATTTAAATGAGATATAATGAAAGTTGCAAAGGAACAAAGTCAAAGTCAAAGATTATTTATTCCATAGGTAAAATAAATTTACACTTGAAATCGTCACATTTAAGCTACTGCTCGTTCACTACGCTGACCTCCCTGAGAAGAACGGGCAAGAAACTCTAGGGATTGCTCTTTTCAAATAAACTTAAATGCTATGGAGTATACTTTGAATCAAATTTGTGTGGATTCTGGAGCCGTGTCGTCTTTCCATACATCTTTATCTAACACGTAGTCTTCAATTTTGTAATATGATTTTTCGATCAAAATATTTTTAATGTAGTTTTTAACCTTAGGAAATGATAAACTTAATATATGCTCCGGAATCTTATTGTAAAAACGTATACAGTTCCCTATAAAAGAGTTGTTTACCTTGGTTAAACGAAATCGTGGTACCATGAGTTTGGACTTAGCTCTAAGGTTAATATTATGGATATCTTCTTTCTTATTGAAATTATGTATATTTTTACGGGCATATAAAATATTTGAGTAAATGTACTGTGATGCCACAGTCATGATACCAGTCTCCTTAAACTTTTCTCTGAGAGAAACCCGAGAGCCTGGACGGTACACAGAACGAATCGCTCGTTTTTGCAATACAAATATGGTTTGAATATCTGCCGCTTTACCCCACATGAGAATCCCGTAGGACATTATACTATGGAAGTAACTAAAGTAAACTAGTCTAGCAGTACTAACGTCGGTAAGCTCACGTATTCTGCGGACTGCGTATGCAGCGGAGCTTAATCTGCTGGCCAGGGAAGATATATGTGGAAACCATTGAAGTTTACTATCTAAGGTCACTCCCAAGTAGACTGCTTTATTAACAAAGTCTAACTTTTCTCCGTTTATTTCTTTGCTTGGACTAGTCGATTTGTCCGTGACAATGTCCGGGCGTCTCCTCACTTAAGGCCCTCAACTAGACCGCTACTAAGACGCGTTAGCTGCGCACGAGACAGACGACCCGGGATCATTCTAAACAGCCCCATATCTTTCTACATTAGTTTTGATTATAGTAACACTCCCTATCGTTCTAAACAGTAATAAGGGCGCGTTTATTCGACACGAATTTCATCGCGCTCACCCCGCGCGGCCGCCACGTGGCTGCCGCGCGGTCGCCGAGCGGAATCCGCGTTGCCCCCGCTGTCATGGCAAAATACGGTCTATTGGTTTAGCTTTTACGTTTTAACTCAAATGAGCGTCTCTGGCACGCGGGCGAGACTAGCTTGAATTTGGTCTACGCGGCGCGGCGGCCCGCTGTCGAATTATTCCGAGGAATTTAAATGTTGTTGCCTAGTAAATAGAAGTCAGATTCGCCATTAATGTACATGAAGGCGTGGTAACTGGGGGGTCGCGCGAAAACTTTCTCCTCGTACTGGGCGCTAACTCTGTGCTGTGACAAAAGAAAGCGTTAGCGTAAATACCCATCCGATGCAAAACGCAGAAGTGGAGGTTGTTGGTGTCGTGGGATCTTCAACTACTAAATACAAATCTAAAAATTGTCAGATAGTACAACAAAAACTTACTTGGAAAATTTTAATGGAACAAATGTTGTTGATCATGATATCAGTAATATAGTCATGCGTATTAGTATTTTACAGACAATTTATTATTCAGGTATAAGCAATTTCCATTAGGCTGAACCTGTTCGCAGGTTTGCTTTACATAAAAAAGTTACTTTTCCTCGATAGATTAGAAAATAATGAAAATTTTTGGCGTGTCTATTTATTAAAATATTTAAAAACATATTTTAGGTGTTCAAATGGACTTTATTCCCCAAGTCGGTGCAGAATTTCTTTAGGGCGCTAGTGGTGAATACGATGAAGAACAGAGAGCTCGAACAGATAATTCGACCTGATATGATACATCTGCTAATGGAAGCTAAGAAAGGTAACAATTATGGAAATTATGAATTAAACTTAATCGTACAATTAAAATCGAATCGGTTGACAACTGAGTTATCGTGAAGTTCTGAATCGACACCCAGGTCAAACAAGGTGCAGGTGGACAGGTTTTTAAAAATAGACTACCAAAGGCGTCTAGCATTTTTGACGTCGGTCGTGCCTTGTTCATAAGACGTGCGCTACTGCGACGTAAATAAGTCAATTGTCCAATATTAATAAACGGCTGTCAACAGCCAGTTCGTTTGATGTAGCTGGTCATGCGATATAGGAATTAAGACTCATTGTATTTTCATGACTCATTTATTTATGGTTGTTAAGAGCTGAGTTACCAAATGAGTATATATGTATAGTTTTACTGTGCCCCGCAAAACCAGTATGCTATATAATAATATGCAATTACAATAAAAAATGTTACGCACTCAAAATTGAATTTTATATTCTATATCGGTAAGTTAAAGTCATCCAGTAATTTAAATCGGTAAGTTTAGTAGCAGTCGAGCTCCTTGTGGAAGAGTTTGTCCAGGGTAGTACTGCCACCTTACATATTTCTGCCGCCAAGCAGTAATGTCAGCATTATTGTGTTTCGGTTTTGAAGGGTAAGGGTGCTGGTGATATTACAGGCACATGGGACTTGTCAACTTATGTCTCAGGGTATCGGGCGCAGTCTCAGATCTTTGCAATTTAAAGCTCTGAGTAGAAGGTATTGTAACTGTTATGGACAGGTGTGTAGCTTACCATCAGGCGCACGACTTGTTCGTATCGTCACTTGATGTTATAAAAAAAAAGTTCGTCGGGTTCGGTTTGTACACTTTCTCTTTTAAATTTACAGGAAAATTGACTTACGACGAGAAATCAAGCCGCGACAAGGACGCCGGCTTCGCCACCGTCGAGGAGTCATTCGTTGGCCAGAAGCAAATCAACAGGGGTATGTCATATTACAATAGGTATAACTTTCAATTCTGAAATGGTGTCTCTAATTTTGACTTAGACAATGTTAGCAATCATTTAAAGAAGGGATCATCAAAAGAGCTAAAATCTTCTATTATGAGTATCAGACCGCAATCTAGCGCTGGAGCTCTAAATCAGAGACCTCCACACGCGTCTTTCGAGCGTCAGTGTCTTAACAACGCAAGCACAGCGTCGACGCGACGTGGCGTCGAAGGGTCATACGTCGCGCTGGCTCACACATATACGTCGCGTAGTAACTCTAAATGTCATTTATTATTTCATATAAAATTCAAAATTTAATTTGCGTGCTAGTCCATATTTCGAATATTCTGTACGGTGTTCAATACAAACTTGTTCAAATGATTAGTTTTGAAGCTAGGGGCATCTGCTATCCGAGGGGCACTGCACCCATCACCCTGAGACATAAGTTGATAAGTCCCATGTACCTGTAATTTCACCAGCACCCTTACCTTGCAAAACCGGAACGCTGTAATACTCACTGAAATAGGGAAGATGGCAGTACTTCCCTGAACGCGAACTCTTTTAAAAGAACTCTACTAATAGTTCTTTAATTATTTTACCCAACGAAACTACTGCCTAGAGATAGTTCAGAAGTTCAGGTGTTACATGCACCTGAACTTCTGAACTGGGAATGTTGTTTGTGTTTTTTTGAATTTTTATATGATTTAAACATTGACTTACAAATAAATGGACGACGGGTCTAATACAAAAACCACGAAAAAATGTCCCAAGTCAACCTATTTAAACGTAGTGACATGTAAAGGAATATGAAAAAGCTAAACCGTTGAATTTAAATTGTAATGTCATCGCAGTACTGTCTAATTTTGCTTGCTTCGCTGTCAGTCGAACAAACGAAGACTGAAGCGTGAATGACGCTCGGTATACGATTTTAACGCCCTATAAGTTCGGACACTTTTTAGCGCGGACCCGACGTCCATATAATTGTAAGTCAATGGATTTAAAGGTGTTTTGTTTACACTGCAATTATTATTATCTATAGTTTGGTCCGACGACGACTTGTGCGCCCAAGTCATCCTGTTCTTCATAGCTGGCTTCGAGGGCGTATCCTCTGCTATGACGTTCCTGCTATATGAGCTCTCTGTCAACCCTGACGTCCAAGAGAAACTATACCAGGAAATCAGGGAGAACGAGGCCAAGAACAACGGAAAATTTGATTACAATTCTATACAGAATATGGTATATATGGATATGGTGGTTTCAGGTAGGGGCACGATGAAAAATCTTCTTTCATACTGGTTGCGGAAACATCTACATAATGAAAATCAAATGTCGGTTTTGCTGCGGCCTAAATTTTCGATTTAGTAAAAGTGGTTAGTTTGCGTGGTAGGTACGCATGCAACAGATGGCGGAGTTCCGCAAACGCGAGCTCAGTCCTCCATTTTTGCTTTGTACGTTATGATCGTGTCAATAATCTCGCGCAATACTTCGAAAACCGTAGAAAAATGTTTTATTTTGCTCTTCTGGAGTGCAAAAATGACGATCGCTCTTGTAATATTATCTATGGCGGTGTTTCAGTCATCATTAATTCTTGTTTTATTTAACTTTATAAATTTTCCATTTTCTATTTATCGTAATCATTTTTTTTATTACAAGAAACGAAATTAAATCTTATGCTGTTGCATTCTCGACCACAGTTGCTTCTTTTTTTGGACAGCTAAGTAAACATCTCAGATTCGTTGTCATTCGGCTGTTAACCGCTAGATGGCAGCACATTAATTGAAATTTCAATACAAAATCAAAACTAGGTAATCATATCTAGGTATTGAACTTTGAACGATATGCCAACAGGGCAAAGTTTAAATTATATTAACAGTTCAGAATTCGATATATCTTTTTAAATTTGAAACTACGACCAATCATTATTCAAGATTTCGTAATGTTTCAAATTATGAATGTGAGAGTTTTGGCGACAGCGATTCCAAAAGAAATCAAGGTTTAAGGTACATACTTCCAATGCTTTTATTTTGTTCCAATATTTCTTGTCACGGCTGACTGAGACGGTAAAGTCACCAGTTAAGTCTAGTATAGTTTCGCCATAGTTACCTAACCTATTTTCCAAAGAACATTCCAATTTACGATACATACATATACACACATCAAAAGTGTCTAGAGATCAAGTGAATATTTTTGAAATAACAATTATTTAAGCAATATTTACCAAATCCAGTCTTCCAGGACGACTTCTTACATTAATGCTTATGTTTTATTTAACCGCTTACCCCTATATTTAATAAAAATAAACTAAAATTGATGTTTTTGCAAATTGTGGGAAAAAACTCAAATTAACGGCGTCAATTAAATGACAAAAAATGGCGAAAATGATGATTTTGCTCATTTTTATTGTAAAGATAAGAAAATTAATAATCTGTATTTCCACCATTAACACGAATCACACAATTACAGCGATTTGGCATGCTTAAGATGAGTTCATCAAAATCACTTTGAGGAATGGCCGCCCATGTGTTTTGTAACAAGTCAAAATATTGTTGTAGAGTATGTACGGTATACATACTCGGCACAGCTCTTCTTTGAAGCATATCCCATGCGTGCTCAATTGGATTGAGGTCTGGCGATTGAGCAGGCCACAGCAGAACGTTGATACGAGCTTCGGCAAGAATGCGTGTTACGACTCTAGCCGTGTGTGGACGTGCGTTGTCATGCATTAGTTGAAATGAATCACCCAACTGGCCTCGCAAAGGGATGATAACATCTGAAACAATCCTCTCTGTGTAAACTTGAGCATTGAGGTTACCCCTGATCCAAATGAGATCGGTTCTTCCGCCGATCCAAATACCGGCCCATATCATTATTGTTCCCCCACCATATGGATGAACTTCCTGACAATATCTCAAACGTTCATGACGTCCAGATGTTCTCCAAACTCGAGTACGTCTTGTATCCGGTCTCATACCGAAGCGAGATTCATCCGAAAAGCACACATAGCGCCAGTCTTCAGTCTTCAGTTTTTTATTGTGTACAAAAAGCCGACACTTGATTTGGAATTCGAAATAAATGAAACCGTCAGACGAGTGGTACATTGGTTGGAATCCAATAATCTTCAAGTGAACCTCTCCAAAACTACGTTCTTGCAATTTTTAAACCGTAATAAAAATCCTGTAAAACTCTTCATAATACACAACAATAGTCCCATAGTAGAGTCGACCACAACGAAGTTTCTCGGTATCATGCTAGATACACATCTCACCTGGACAGCGCATGTAGAGTCAGTCTGTGAAAAAATCAACAGATTTGTTTTCGCACTTTACAGACTTAAAAATACCTGTGACCAGAAAACTGCTCTGATAGCTTACCACGGCTACGTGTGTTCGACTCTGCGGTATGGAATTGTAGTCTGGGGTAACTCTGTAAACATGGATCGAGTTTTCATACTACAGAAAAAGTGCGTAAGAGCAATGTGTGGTGCAGGTCCACGAGATAGCTGCAAACCTCTATTCATAAATCTAAGAATACTGTCCATTCCTTCTTTATATATATATGAAACGTGTAATTTTGTCAAAACCCATAAACAATTATTTATTGCCAATACCGCTCCTTTTTTGACCCGTTATCCCAATCGTTTGACCCAACATATACACACTACGACATTGTTCCAAAGGAATTGCTATAACATGTGCATAAAATTATATAATGTATTACCTGACGATATGAAAATGTTACCTACACCTAGATTTAAGAAATTGCTGTTTGACTTGCTTGTGACAAATTGTTTTTATAGTACGCATGAGTTCTTGACATATAAATTTTGAAGATTGTGACCCTCTATGTAAGTTTTAATTGTATTTGTATTGACATGCGTTCCTATTTTATTATATTTTGTTTTTGTTATTTGTATTCATCATTTCAACTGATTAATTATTTTTTTTTTTCTAATGTAATTTGATATGTAAAGTCAATAATATTTGCATGCCAATTGCTGGCGCAACACGCTGAACTTTTGTATTTGTACATATAATGTAATAATTGTAATCTACTTACCGTGTATGCTTGCAAATAAATATATCTATCTATCTATCTATCTATCTATCTTCTTCCTCCCAGTTTCTGTGTTCGCGAGCCCATCGTAAACGGGTCCTGCGATTGCAGGGTGCAATAGGTGGAACTCTGAGCGGCCTTCGGGATCGCAGACCCACTTCACGTAAACGATTTCGGATTGTTTGATCGCTTATTAGCAAGCCTGAGGAGCTGTGGAGCCTCGTAACCAACATCATGGCGGTCATGGTACGATTCCGTCGAGCAGTATTTTGGATATACCGGTCCTGTCTGCGAGTCGTGATGCGAGATCGTCCTCCATGTCGCTCGGCCACGCTGCCCGTCATGCGATAGCGCGTCCAGAGGCGACTTATGACGCTCTGTGTAGTGTTAAGAGTGAAAGCCACAGCACGTTGCCTGGAACCAACTTCCAACATTCCGACGGCTCGCATCATCACTTCTCGGGTTAAATGATGCCGTCTCTCCATAATAATGTAAATTGTTTCGGTTCCGATGCAGATATTGTAATGATTTTGTCAAAACGCTATAACTCATTTTTATACAAAACCACGTTGACAATCGATTTTCTTCTTATTATCGAATTTTAAACAATATTCCTTATTTAAATGTTCAAACTCACTAAAAAGTATCAATAGCGATACAAAAAAGTTAATATAATTAACCCTAATTGCAGCAATACTCTTAAACGTACTTGATCCCTAGACACTTTTGATGTGTGTATTTAACATAATTATTACAGTATTTTATTTAAAAAATAATTAAAATAATTTTGCTAATAGTTAATCATGGAAATTAGAATAAACGAAAAGATATTCATTAGTACTGCAGTCGCTTGCTTGGGAGTTTTCATCTGTTTTTTCATACTGGATCTTAAACTAGTGGTACCTACGAAGAAATCATTCTGGACATGTAATAAAATATATTGTATATAACAGAATATTTTGTATTTCAGAAACATTGAGGTTATGGACGTCTGGCTTTGCCACGGACAGGTACTGTAACAAAGACTACAACTTGGGCAAACCCAATGACGAAGCTACCGAGGACTATATTGTAAGTGTTAAAACACAAACTGTACTTATTTCTTAAAATCGTCAGACTATTTTGAACTTATTGATCTTGTCATTTCAAAGTCAGAATCCCATGAAAAGGACATGCAAGAAATCACTGTGGCCACCATAAAACAGTTTGTATCGTCTTTAACAGATATAATTAATGTTATTGGTAAACGTACTCATAAGTCGCAAATTTAAGTTTCTGATCAAAATCAAAATAATCTTTATTTCATAGGTAACACTTGAAATCGTCACATTGGTTAAACTCTACCGCGCATTCGCAGAGCAGATTGCCCTGAGAAGAATGAGCAACAAACTCTAGGTGTTGCTCTTTGTAAATAACATTTGTACATATTTAATATTTACAATATATATTTTTTTATTTGAAACATCAGAGAGCGAGACTACCTCCATGAGCTAAACGGGTTACTACCACGGATTTTTGTCATCCAAGTATGCAGAAGTTGTAATAGCCTTTAGTATAAAGTTTTTGTTCCACTATAGTTTTAAACCTCGTGAATGACAAATTTTGTATATCAACCGGAATTTTGTTATAGAAGCGTATACATTGCCCCTTAAATGATTTTGTGACTTTGTGAAGACGACTATCAAGAACAGCTAGTTTATTTTTATTCCTCGTATTAATTAAAAATGTACAGTACTGCGATGACATTACAATTTAAATTCAACGTTTTAGCTTTTTCATATTCCTTAACATGTCACTACGTAGAACATCTGTTTTTGGAAGTTACTTTGTCTCATCATAAGCTACTTCTGGGAGTTTACTATTGCCCATCTCTAAGAATTGACTACTTTTCCGCTCTTGAAAAGCTCCTTGAAGACTTTGCTCCTTCATATGATCATACCATTTTGATGGGTGATTTTTATACTTGCCTTCTTAAAAATGATTCACGTTCGAGCAGTCTTCGTTCTGTTATAAATTCCGCTAACTTACATATTCTTCCATCTAACGCTACGCATCATTTTCCTAACTGTACTCCCTCTCTTCTGGACCTCATAGCAGTCTCTTCTCCCGAACTTGTCACCAAGCATGGTCAATTCACGGCCGATGCTTTTTCCTATCACGACCTCGTGTACCTGTCGTATAGGGTGCGCGTGCCCAAGGCTAAGCCTAAAATTCTCCTACAACGCAATTTCGGAGCCATGGACGTAGATCGATTGCGTGAAGACGCGAGTAGAGTTGACTGGTCAGTAGTGGATAGTGTTGGTTCGGTGGATGAACAAGTCGAGTTATTTACATCGCTACTGACTCACCTTTATGACGTACATGCACCAGTTCGACCCGTTCGTATCAGGCACCTTCCTGCACCGTGGCTGAGTAGTGACCTTCGAAGTTATATGGAGAAGAAGAATCGTGCGAAAACCAGGTACAAAATTGAACCATCTGATGCGAATTGCAAAAAATATCACCGAATCAGAAATCGCTGCAACACATTGATTAGGGACGCTCAGCGACACCACATCCACACATCCATCGAAAATGGTAACCCCACTAAAATTTGGAATTTCCTTAAGTCGCTTGGAGTTGGTAAATCTCATAGTAGTAATTCTTCTTTAGACCTGAATCTAGATAACCTTAACAATCACTTTTCATCTGCGCCTGTCTTTGACTGTTCAGTCAAAAACAACACTTTGCTATATCTTTCATCATTACCAACTTCTGACTATTCATCTTTTGTTCTTAATCAATTTACTGACTGTGATGTTAAGAAAAACGTTTTAGCTATCGTTTCCAATGCTGTAGGCAGTGATTGCATTAGTCGTAATATGATCATTCCCCTCCTCGATCTCCTCACTCCCGTCATTACTAAAATCCTTAATAAATCTGTCTCTACCTGTGTTTTCCCCACTGCCTGGAAAGACGCTTATGTCATTCCACTACCGAAAAAAACCAAACCAAGTTTCCCTTCAGACTACCGTCCTATTTCAATTCTTCCTTTCCTGTCGAAAGTCCTAGAAAGGCTTGTTCATTCTCAGTTGACTAATTTCGTAAACAGGAACAACCTTTTCAATCCTCTCCAGTCTGGTTTCCGCATTGGTCATAGTACGACTACTGCACTCACGAAAATCACTGATGACATCCGGTTGGGTATGGAAAACCAACAATTGACTGTGCTGACACTCCTTGACTTCAGTAATGCCTTCAATGGTGTTGACTTTGACCTATTATTGGAGGTATTGCGTACTCTTAACATATCTCCAGCAGTTATTGATTGGTTTCGAAGCTACCTCTGTGGACGTCGGCAGTGTGTACGCTATGAGAATTCTTTCTCTACGTGGTGCGATATTTCCGCCGGAGTCCCGCAGGGTGGCGTCCTTTCTCCTCTCTTATTTTCTTTGTTTATTAACTCTATCACACAATCCCTCACTTCTTCTTATCATCTTTATGTTGATGACCTCCAGATTTACACCCAGTCGTCTATTCAAGACTTACCACGTGCCATTAATACAACCAATGTGGACCTTGAATCCATTCGTCAATGGAGTCAATCCTTTGGCCTTAAAGTTAACCCATCCAAAACACAATCGATTATTATAGGTAGCACTTGGTTCAATTCTCGTTTTAGTCTAGACTCCTTACCCTCTGTGGTTTTCGATGGTGTTTGTATTCCTTATTTGGATACAGTCAGGAATTTGGGGGTAATTTTTAATAAATGTCTGACTTGGAAGCCGCACGTTGCTGAGGTTAGCAGGAAGGTGTTTGGTGCGCACTTCTCTCTGAGAAGGCTTAAAAACTTTTTGCCGACTAAAACCAAAATTACTCTGGCCCAGAGCATACTCCACCCGATACTGGACTATGCAGATGTTTGCTACCCAGATTTGTCAGTAACTCTGCTCAATAAATTGGAACGGCTCCAAAATATGTGTGTTAGGTTCATCTTCGGACTACGTAAATTTGACCATGTCTCCCAATTTCGCACACAAATTAAATGGCAGCCCATTCATCGGCGTAGAGATCTTCATATCCTTTCACTTCTCTATTCAATTCTGTTCTATCCCTTTACGCCTTCTTATCTTAAAGATCGCTTTACTTTCCACTCTTCTACACTCTGTCGTCCCCTTCGCTCCTCTGATACTCTCTTACTTAACTTGCCCTCTCATACCTCTAACTTTTATTCCAACTCTTTTACCATTTCTGCGATCAGATTGTGGAATTCTCTCCCTGAATCGATTCGACGATCCCCTTCTCTTGATACCTTTAAACATCGTGTCAAGGATCACTTCCTCAACTCCTAAATTTCGTCTGTCCTCTACTATCCTTTCATTTATTTCCTACATTTATACTTGATTTTTCTTTTTCCTTTAAAAGTATATAAGCATTTAATATTATTGTTATTTGTATGTATATGTATATCTATCTATGGATATGTATATATTTTTATTATTACTTATTATGTAGTGTACTTATGATGATATTCTTTGGTTGCACCCCTTTTGCATATCCGAATTGTCTATCCTAAGGTTGACTGGAAGAAATTGCTACATAGCAATAAGGCCGCCTGTTGCACATTGACTTACTACTACTATTATACTTAAGCTATTGTATTGTATTTTAATTGTAATTTTATGTGCAATAAAGAATATTTCATTCATTCATTCATTCATTC